TCCGTTTTGAAGTAACACCCAGCATGCTGTGCTGCCAGTGACAAAACAGTTCAAATCTGAAGGCACAATTATGAAATTACATGTGTTAGTGTCATTTATTGCAAAAGCAACGTTTTATTTTGTTTTAAACTCATTTAGATTTATGTAACAGATTGGATGGGTAAAGTCACTGAGTGACAGTATTTGGCCTACTGGTGTAGTTTTTTAATGTTAAGAATAATAAATCTGTTTAGAGACAGGCTTTCTTAAAACCTTGGTAGTATTCAAGCATCTTATGTTTCTTGTACAAAGGATGTGGTTTATACAATGTGTGTTTTTAATGATTCTTTCAAGGTAGCCTACTGGGAATTATGTTTCCCATTCATATTATGCCAAAATATATTTTGGGAGGTAACAGGCTTCAAAAGAAGGATTACAGTAGGTAGAGCAGTGAAAATTGTTCTGTTTACTGATGTACTGTGCTTGAAGACAGGCTTAAAAGCCAGTGAGGCACTAATTCTGTGTGTTTGTGTGGGTTTTAAGACTCATGCAGCTTTTTGACAGCACTGCCAGAGAAGTGTCTCGCTCAGCAGCCCGGTTCTGAAACAGTGGGAGCTCTTTGGCTGAGTTATTTTACTCCAGATAAATAAGCTTGTTTTAACTGCTTGCCCAGTGAAAGTATCTTGCTGCAAACTTGAGAACTGAATTCATTTGAATGTTTTATTTCAAAGTGTTACATTTGTATTTCTGCTTTCCAGCTGCCTTCCTGAGAGATGAGGTGTAATTCTTATTTATAATATTCTGGTGTGGGGGGGGACTTGCACTAGGAACATGACAGCCAGACACAATTCAAGATGTTCATGTTCCTTCCCTTTCTACTCCTCTTCTGAAAGCCACCCAGTGTGCCTGTATCATCATTGGAAGAGTTTTCTTAGTTGCTCTTCCCCATGAGCAGATTCTGTTTTGCTTTACAGGTGAGGAAATTAAATATTCTAGCATGAAATATTCCTGCCTTAGACACCTCAGGGAAGACTATGCCTCTATAATCAATATAAAAGTAACCTTCAGCACTGTTCCCTGTACATACTCTTTTGCTTTCATTTGAGAGATCCAGGGAGATAAGCTGGAAAGCCCAAGTAAGCTGAACCTAGGTAGTGATACTCCAGAAGATCTGCCCAGTGCAACAAAACCAGTCAAAATACAAATATGCTAAGTCTCATTCCTGACCACAACCATTTTTTGTTTCTAAATGGAAGAGTGCAACAAAATCAGTCAAAATACAAATATGCTAAGTCTCATTCCTGACCACAACCATTTTTTGTTTCTAAATGGAAGAGTGGATCTGAAAGCACTCCTGTAATGCTTTCACCTGTCAAGTTATTGTAAACTGTGTATGTTTCATCTTTCTCTTCCCTCAGGAGACAAGTATCTCCATACCTAGCAGGAAACAGGAGACTTTGCTCTGAAATAACTGATAAACAAGTGTGAAGCATGAGGATCAACTCTGCTGTTCAGGCTGCTATTGACCTCACAGCAGGTGCTGCAGGTAATGCTTTATTGCACAAAACTTCTGAGGTACAGTTTTAATGCCTTTGACAAAAAGCAGTTTCCAGTTGCTATAAAAAGCCTCACCTTCTGTGTTTTAAGGGTATGAGGAGAAGCAGTGACCTCAGCCAGTGTTGTAACTATATCCCTGTTGCTCCTCCCTGCCAAAACCCCTGCCACACAGTGAGGATATAACACCTTACTCAGACTAGTCATTTTCTATAAGGAGGTTTAAGTTCTGCTTACATGAGTTTAAGAATCAGTCAGAGTATCAGCAGAGTTTTGCAAGCAAGTCGATGTGTGAGTGATTGAGGTGCTGCATTTGTCACAGGAACCGTCCCTAACTGAAAGGGACAGGAGGCTATCTGAAGGGTTTCTGGCTCAGACAACATCTTGGTGTGAATCTCTAAAACCTCTGAAGCTCAGCAGGAGAACTGATGATAAATTTGCATAACTGACTTCCACTTCAGTCAAGTCTGTGCTGTAAAATTTTGCTGGACCAGTTGTGTGGGAATGGTTGCACTGTCTCACTGATATTGCCATGTTGGTAATGTCTGTGGCTCAGGGATGCAATTTTGAACACTGCCAGGGAAAAGGGGTCTTTTTGACTTATAAGCTAACAGTGGTTATATGGAAAAGGTGGAAGATTTGTCTAATTTACTTTTGTAACTAGTTTAGACAATTTTAGTGATCTTTTTTTTCCCCACACAATTAAATTGTCAGTCCTTTTATGACAATGTTAATGCTGTGAATATGACAGTATTAATGGTGCTAAATGCATTCAGTGGTAGTTATTTGAAGTCATTTGTCAGAGTGGAGGTTAACAGTGCAGTGAGAAAGCAAGGGGTAACACCACAAGTCTGGTGTGGCAATCTCTGCACTCTTTAGAAAAAGTAATTAAGTAAGCAAACAGCTCATTTCTCCAGAAAATGTACAACCTGGTTTTACCTTCCTCTCCAGATACAGTCTTGACTACCTCATAAATAATGACGTATTGAGGCAAGCAAATTCTGGACAAGAATAAGTCATTTGGCTGTCTGGGGTCACAGTCCTTTACCTAGGATCTAAGCAACCTCTAATCCCTTCTTTCATTCAGGAGGACTCTTTTCCCCACCACTGCCATGTTATTATTAGGACCACACTTGTCTGAATGTTATAACAGATTTGACTTTTTGGGTTTCTGGTTTAATTTTGTAGTTGGGTTGGTTTTTTTATGACTCTTTACTGCTGGCTGGAAGAATTTTATTTTTTTTTTTATAATATATTTCAGATAATAACCAGGACTCTTGGTCTTTATATTAAGGCTTACAAAGTTCCAGTTGCAGTTTACTAGGTTTTTTGCACCAACTTCAATAACAGGCTTTTTGGAACAGCCATTCTGTCAACTTCCAGTTTTTCAGCTTTACATTTCAAACACCATTCCTGGTTTCTCTTGGATATCTTCCAACAGCCATTATTTTATTATAGAAACCTAGCATTTGTCCTGTAGATTAATATCTACCTGACTTCCCTGCAAATAACATTGTCTGATCCTTTCCAGCTCTGCTTTTCATTTGAAGCTCACATGGGTGTTACTGGTCTGAGCCAGCTACTTTTCTCCTTGGTTATCCTTCCAGAGCAGGAAACCCTTTGTGCTTCCTTGCATGATTTGCTCTGAAGTTTTTAATGATCCATCTCGTTGAGAATGAGGTTTTACGGCAGCTAGATCCCGAGTTTCTCTCAAGTACCTCTTTGCAGAGAAGCAAGAATAATGTTATACAAATGTGTTCGCAAAGAGTAAAATGGATTGCAAATAACACTAGCTAAACAAATACTTACTCTTCTCCCCACTTAAAAATAACTAATCTTAATTGGATGCACAAATTTGTTTCCATTTCAATTACTTTGCTAACTGCATTTACCGATAAATTACGGTATGTAACAAAACCATGAACCCTATATAAGGTACACCTATCATGTGCTTCCTGTCAGGTATTTGCTGATAGATTGCTATTGCTGTTTCTTACTGAAAAAGTGTAACATCAGCTCTTCCTGCAGACTACAGAACTGAATTAGATCTTGCAGAAGAACACTGCACTGTGAGCAAAACAGTTACTGATGACATTGATGGAAATACCACACAAGTTTTCAGGGTATTGACCTTGCAGTTCAGTTTGGAGAAGATAGCACATTGAGAAACTTTGCCCTTTTGCCCTTTTTCAGCTTATACTTGACACTTCCTTCCAGTCTGGAAAGAAACATGCTTAAGAGCTATCCAGAGTTTTGAAGTAAAGGGTTTAATTCTTTGGTTATCAATTTATTATGTATGATCAGTTTAGCAGTCTCAGCAGTCTTCCTCTTGTCCTGGAGATATCACTTGATTACTAATCTTTCAGGGTTGGGATTTTTTTGCTATTACTGGAATGTAAAATCAGAGATGTCTTCTGAACCACTGCATTAATGGGCAAAGGAAAATGTTATTTAACTCATTGACACAAGTGACTTGATTGCAGAACAATACCTCTATTTCAGGACAAGTTTATAAAAGGGAACAGATTCATTTAGAAGCTTGCTTTTCATGAGATAAAGAAATGTTTAATGAGAATCATGCTGTTACTGCTCCTTTGCCTGATTTTTTTTTTTCTTAAGGTAACTAAATTCACCAGTGACAATTGATGCCATTGTGCCAAAATCAGTGCACTTGTCTTTTCCTACGGAGAATGAATTAATTTTTGCTTTCTGTGTGATTTTCCTTATACTGGTGCTTCAGCTTAGGTGTTGCAGTTTGATAACCTTCAGCCACTCTGTTAACTTCCATTGCTTGCCTAGGTGGGACTGCCTGTGTGGCGACTGGCCAGCCCTTTGACACTGCAAAGGTGAAGATGCAGACATTCCCCAACATGTACAAAGGACTTGTTGACTGTTTTGTCAAAACCTATAAGCAAGTGGGATTTCGAGGCTTCTACAAGGGAACCACACCAGCGCTTGTAGCCAACATTGCAGAGAACTCTGTTCTGTTCATGTGCTATGGATTTTGCCAACAAATTGTGAGAAGAATTGTTGGAGTAGACAGGAAAACAAAGCTCAGGTAAGTAATAAATATATAGTTTGTATTTTAAAATAAATAAGTATATAAAATTTCATGCAATTGCTCTTTGCCAATACTGTACTGTCAGGGTGCAAGTGAGGTCCCCGGCTCTCTTCTGATGGTGTACAGTGTAGTAAATTTTGGAATATAGGCCTTAGTGTGACAGTATAGTGTCTAATATAACAGAGCCATCTACTAACCAGTCACTGCAGCTGGCTTGTTTAGATGATCACGGCTTAACTGGAGTGCTCAAGACATGGAACGTTTTTACCAATAGGATTGAGCATTTCAACACCTGAAAGTTAGAATTCCCTTAATTTCTAGGTTGTTCTGATTTTGCAGGGGAGGTAGTGGCTCTTCTTACAAGGAGGCATACTAAGGGGGAAAAGCACTTTTCTAATACTGTCTTGCTTTTAAAAAATGTCTTTATTTAAGGTTCAAAAGCTTGCTCACCTTACAAAACCCTTACCTTTTCCTACCCATTGAAATGTAGGAGGTAGGCCTACTAGCAGTATATTTCACTTCTTCACCATCTTTTGTGATCATCCTGGAAGGTAGACCACAGATGTGCAGAGGTCCTAGGATCATCTCACGTGACTGAGGCACCACGGTCATGCTGGATGTAGGGAAGGTAGTGTAGGAAACTGAAACAGTACACTGGTGCAATACTCTGTCTTTGGAGCTGGATACAGAATGGGAATGTGAGTATGCAGCAACAGCAAGCACCTTTGGTATCTGACAGTTCTTTCCTTGGTCAGGTAATGGTGGCTTTCAGATCCAAGATGGCTCTGTAATGCCTTGTTGATTCAAGGTCAAATAGTGTGACTGCAGAGCTGCTCTACAACAAAGCATTAAAGAATTTAAGTTTACTTGAAAGATTGTCCCTTGGTGTTGTTTCCTTATTCTCTTCATCTAGATCATTGTGTATATGATATATACAACTTATATATATCTTATACCTTATATATATACCTTACATATATCTTATGAGGTACATATAAGAGAGAATTGTATTGACATGGTCTTCAGCAGGGCCCTGATGAGAACATGTGGTCTGTCCAGGACACCCCCACCCATTTTTACTATACTGTTACACTTTCAAAAAAGGACAAACTATAAAAAATTTTTCAGTTAAAGGAATACATGTCACCCGATGCATAGGTCACAAAGAAAAGAAGAGAGGAATGCTAAATTCCGTTTATCTTTTAATATATGCTTAGTTCAACTAATAGATTTAATTTCATACTGAAGTCTAATGTGAGACAAAATGGGAAGAGAAGTGCTAAATTCCAGTCACTGCTCTGCAGGCAGTTACTGATTTCTTCCACTTTGAAAGTTGTCATTACTGCCATACCTGAATGTCATGAGCTTCATGTCAACAACTTGAGTTTTGTGATGCTTCAAGGTGAAAAGCTGTAGCTTTAATCTCTGATACTATAGATGTATCAAACTGCTGGGCACAAGGCAAGCATCTCCCTTGGATGGAAAGAATTTCTGTGCTGCAGTGAGATCAGTCTCAGCTGCACTGACTCCCCAGGTTCTGAAAGAGAAGCTCCACTTCTGTGCTATTGTGCAGCTCCTGTCCAAAACACTAGTGTCTGTGGGAGCTTGTTCAAAATGTATCATAAAGTAGTGTTGCCCTGGAGTAACAGCCTTTTGAGTCCTGCCAGTTTAGCAACCCAGAATCTGTGGTACATGTAAAATCACCACAAAATAAGCCTCAGTTCTGGAACACTGAGTCCCTACAGATGACAGTGCTGTCTTGTGGTGTGGTTTATGTTTGCGCTGTCTCTGATTCACATGGTTGCATTCATAGCAGCACACCCATACAAAGATTACAGTGATCCATTGTGCCTGCTTTCAGTTTTCTAGCATCTTCCTCTAAAATCCTTTATTAATACTGGTAAGGTGAATTTGACATCTATCTATATGAAGTGATTATTGCTCTTATTCTCTTTTGAGAAAGTAATTAGTAACTAAAAGTTGCCCAGTAAAACAAGTCTATGGAAATCTTTATAAATGCTATCAAATCTTCTCTTCCTGGCTTTTATTCTGCTGCAATCACTGAAGTATAGCAAAAAGGGTAGAGGTTGCAGTGTATCTCTTTGGTGTCTTTCAGTTGTGTAAGAAAATGGGAATAGGTTTTTCCTGCCTCTGGTTCAAGTAACTGTCCTTTGCCCTTGAGAATCTTTCCACCAAGACTTTCTTTCCACCAAGTCAGTTTTTCTTGATGCTATTTAGGGTACAAGTCCAGGAAGCTGATTGCTGGTGTGTTGGTTCTACTGCACTAAAGTTCAGTGCCCAAATACCTTCTGCAGTTTCTTTCTTGCAGTGATCTACAGAATGCTGCTGCAGGCTCCTTTGCCTCTGCCTTTGCCACCCTTGTTCTCTGTCCCACAGAGCTGGTGAAGTGCCGGCTGCAGGCTATGCATGAAATGCAGTTGTCAGGAAAGATAATCCAGGGACACAAGTAAGTATACACCCTGCTTAATATCTCTGAAACCCTTTCTTATGTATTATTTCTTCAAATCCTGTGTTGGCTCAGTGTCACATTTGTAGTGCACTGCTAACCAGAGGAGAGTTGTGGCTGGGAGGAGCCTGCAGCCCTTCTGGGAGACAGTAAAGCTGGATGCCAGTGAAGGGCTCCTTCAGGATCCTTTAGATCTTGCTCCTCAGAGCAGGATTTTGCTCTAAGTCTTACATGAATCCAATTATTTGCCCAATAGCTCTCACCATTAACTGTTGCTGCAGTTGCCTATTGTTCTATAACCTCTTATTATCTGGCTAGTATCACTGACTGGATCAACCTCTCTCAGTACAGTTTGGTCAGTAGTGAAGGGTGTTATCCAAAAGGATGGTCCCCTTGGATTTTATCGTGGCCTGTCCAGCACTTTGCTGCGGGAAGTCCCAGGCTACTTCTTCTTCTTTGGAGGGTATGAACTGAGCCGGACATTCTTTGCCTCTGGGAGACCAAAAGATGAATTAGGTATGGTACCTTTTTACAGGTGGGTTTTAGCATGCTGTCATGAGGGACATAAAGGAGAGTGTATCTTCCCTGAAGATATACTAATGATGTTGTAAAATATATGCAAAATGAAGGAAATGAGGCATACTAAATATGGAGGGCTGTATTTTGTGTATCCATAGTAATAAATTATTGAAGTGACCATTTTCCAATGAAGCAGGATGCATCATAAATAGAGAATTGATACAGTGAGCTAACACTACAAAACTGCAGAAATATCTGACCCCACAGTGTAACACAAGACATTTCAGCTGGCATTCAGCGTGATTTTGAAGTATTTAGCTGCATTCCCTTGAACAGTGTGTTCAAGTATATGCTGAACTGTATGCTGACCATTAGATATAGTTACACTGATAGTAAGAGAACACTGAGATTGAAAATTAGAAATGAAACAAAACAGTGATACAAGAATAAAGATTGCCTGTTTCCTGGTAAAAGACTGAACCAGTAATACTTTGTCTTGCGTGGAGTCAGGATTTCAGCTGCATGCATTTTGGACTTGTAACCAAACACTTAAAAACATCTGATCTGAAACACAAAATTGGGGTACATCATGAAAGAAATGACCGATCACAAAATAACTCCACTGTACCAAATAAATCTCTGTATATGTGATTAGTAGCACTATATGATGTTACTCTAAGCCATTTCACAATTAACCTTGGAAGATTATTACAAGTGTTAAAAAAGTGAATTTAGTTAATAGAGTCAAAGTGGAACTTTGAGTTACAGTTTTTTAGCATGGCCAATAATCTAAGAGGTGCTCTTTATAATCTTTGAGTTTCTAGTTAAGACCTGCAATTTACCAGTGGCTGAAATTAACTTAAAGGTTATTGAGGGAACAGAAACTGCTCTTTTGTCATAAGCAGGTTCCTCTGTTCCCTTTGAATCCTGTAGATGAAATAATGTTATATTTGTGTTGGGGAAAGTGTGGCATATAAAAGCATATTTCTTAACTTTTAGGTCCCATTCCTTTGTTACTGAGCGGAGGTTTCGGAGGCAGCTGTCTGTGGATTGCTGTGTATCCTGTGGACTGTGTCAAATCTAGAATTCAGGTTCTTTCAATGGCTGGAAAACAGGCAGGCTTTATGGGAACATTTTTAACTGTTGTGAGAACGGAAGGTGAGTATGCAAGCAGATCAACTGAATCTATAAGGCTGCAGACTGAAATCTATACCCTCCAATACCCAAAATCACTTAAGAAACCTAGTCCAGTGATAATGTGTTAGACAATAACTGTTTCTAGCAAACAAATATCTACTTCATGTAGTGTGGAAAGCTTGGAATCTAGAAACTGAGACCTACTTCATCTTCCCTGCCTCTTGGTTCAGGAGATGATTCACTTAAACCTAGCAGAAAACTACTATGCATTAAAAGCAGATAAAGAAATGAGCTCTATTACCTGTGACCAAAGCTATACATGAAAACTAAAGGAACTAGGTAAGTTCCATGCAGAAGTTTTCTTCACCTCTAAGAGTTAATATGTGGCTGAGGATTGATTTATCAAACAGCCCTATCCAGCCTGGCAACTTGAGGCATCTACTTCAGCATCTCCTCTCTGGAAAAGGCCTTTGTCAGGTGCCTTGGAAGAGGGTCTGAGAATATACATGGCAGCAGATATGAATTCTGGCCCCATTGCTAGATAAGACTCCCAAGAGTCTGACTTGGGATACAGTTCTAACATAGTTCTGCTGCCCCCTTGCCAGCTGTGGTACAGCCATTGTCAAGTTATCTCAGCTGACCAAGACCTAGTCATACCTGAAATAAGCATCTAATATAAGCCCTTACATGGCTAAACTCCTGTTACAACATTAAATACTCCCATATCAATATCCAGTACCACTACAATCAGTAGCTACACTAGTGAGTTCAGCTCTCTGTGTTCATGCTCCTCTAAGCAGAAGCATTGCTTAGTATCCTACAAAGATAAGAGCACAGTAGTTGATGCACAGTCACTTTAATAAATTGATAACTGGCTCTGGTTTTATTTCCAGGTGTGCTTGCCTTGTATTCTGGACTAACACCAACTATGATCCGTGCATTTGTGGCCAACGGGGCACTGTTCCTTGCCTACGAGTACAGCCGGAAACTTATGATGAAACAAATAGATTCTTACTGATACCATCTAGCAGACCAAGAACAAGAGATTGTTTAAGGGTCTTTTAAATAAATGATGAAAAACACATAGATCACATGATGGTCTGAGCAGAACCAAATCAGTGACCTAATTTTAGGAGCTCAACTCCACTTTAAGATTTGTAATCTTTTAAAATCAGATGAGTTTATGGAGGTGTGTACATGTTGCTTGAATTGCACAAGCAGAACTATTTCCCTCTTACAGATTCTGCACTAGGTACACTGCATGTCATTAATGTCTTTCCTGACCTGTAATGGTGCTAAAAATATTTACATTGACCTGTGGGGTTTAATGTAATATGCAAGAGTAGGTTGTGATTTGTCTGCAACAAAGCACTGGTTTTAAAACTGCAGCAGTTGTGACCTTTTGCAGTTGTTGTTATCTGACTCAAAATAACATCAGTTCTTGTCTAATCTTCCTGAGTATAGATGACTTGGACGTACCCCTGTCCTAGGGAGACCTTTCCTTCTCCAGCTACACCCCCTGTCCTGCTCCATCTCACTTCTGCTCTGTGACTTGATAAGTTAATGACAAAGGCATCTGACATACTGTCCTAGTGATTGGGTTTATAAAAGTAGGAAACATTCATATGAGACTTAGAGCCCAAGATAGGCCTACATTTTTGATAAAAGCAGTACAGTAACTACATTAAGAAGGCTATGTTGCATTGTATTGTTTTCTAAATCCTTTCAAGAAGTGCTGGAGGTATGCTAACAATACTTAATGCTTAACAATAGGGAGAGTGCTGGAAATAGCTGCTGCCTCTGAGCACAGAATTGTAACTTTGTGCAGGCTCCCATTTAGGTCATCTTGGCATGAATGAGGCCACATGCTGGAAGGACAGGAAGCTGAAGAGGAACAGACAGCCAGAACTGACACCACGGTCTCTGGTATAGCAGTCTTACTGGGGCAGGAGTCTTGGCCTTGCTGTGCCTCTTCAGCTGAGTGGAAAAGCTGGTTTGACTGGATAGCTTGTATCACCTTCAGGCCTGGAGGGCATGGCCTCCTTGGTCATGGTACTTGATTAAACGTGCAGTTAGTCAGTATTACCCAAAATGATGCAGTGACACCTCTTTCCAGATGCCACTTTTGTTCTTCAAGAAGAATGCTCTTTGTACAAGCATGCTCTGCTTTGTGACAAGCAGATACTGCCTTATCTTGGAATAAGCCGAGCAGGTCTTGAGGCAGCACAAACCTCTGGAGCTGTACAGAGATGCTTCCTGGGTGCTCTAAGTGCAGCCCACCAGTGTGAGGACAGTGGGGGGCATAGAGCCCTTTAACTTGCTGAGATCATCACAGCTACATGGAGAGTAGCAGCTTGTCACAGAAACCACAATTGCCAGTGACAGACAACAGTCAGAGCTGGAACAACCTAATTTTATATGTTACAGTTTCCCTTTCAGATCCCAGAAATAGGAACAAGCTTTAAGCATAGATGAAATCACCCCAATACCTGCTGCTTCTTGCAGTGGAGCCAGGGTGCACTTAAACTGGCTCATTCCTTGCATTGTTGCAGCCTCTTTGATGGAAGGTGGTTGCTGCAGTTCCACAAAATCTCGTTCCAGCCTCCAAATGCAAAAAGAACAATTCACCTCCGTTTCATATACCATGAGAAAAAGCAGTTAAAGCAGGTCATGGCTGAAGAATCTTCAGTGTCTGTTGCACTGAATATACCTTGACTGACTGGTACACTGGGGCAGCAGTACTCTGCATTGCCAGTATCTTAAAAGAAATTTATACCAAATGTTCAAATGATTCAGGTAGGAAGATGAAGCTTTAAGAGTTTGTTAGCCCTCCCCTTCTTTTCAAAATTGTCTAGCTAAGAGAAATAGTATATTTGTACATGTTTCTAGTAGTTATGAAAAGGTGATGACTCCACCTCAGTGGAATATTTCAATCTATTTCTTAGATTTGTCTTTGCTTTCATTTTTTAAAGCTCATGTTGCAGTTTTTAATACAAAAATTGAAGCTTCAAGAGAAGCAGGGTATTTAAAACAACCTACAGCAAGAAGCTGGCGGGATTTTTGAGAGTTTACCTTCTGAAGTTGATGTAAGCAGTAGTTCTTCCATTCAGAGCTGCTTAAGCTGTACACATGTATCAGTTGTTCAGCTAAAAACTTCATAATGTTGGTATAGAAATTCACAGAAATAAAGTTAAATTTGATTAACTGAGTACTTGATGATTGTTTATGCCATTTAACAAGCTCATCTAGCTCAGAAACAAAAAGGTTGAATTCAGCATCACCACCTCTCTGGAATTAAAGAAAGGCTTTATTTAATCAATGAACATATAAAGCCCTCAAAACTAAGGAGAAGGGGGCCAACTAGAGTAAGGTGCTATGAAACAACTGCTGATTTTACATCTACGGAAAATGAAACCCGTATTTCAGCCCTTGGCCTGTTGTTTTGTTAGTACCAAAATCAGTTCTAGTATTAGGGTTCACATCAAATTCCAAATTTCTAGATTACCACAATACAGGCTATAAGGTTTTCTGTCAGAAGGTCCAGGAGTCCAGAACAGGTCATGTAAATTCCATGCAGATAAGGGATGAATGGCCACTACTCTGTGAAGGTCAGTACAACAGGGAGGCAGGGCCTACTGTTACCCTCTTCTGAGCAGTGGTGCCTGGATCTCCAAGAGAAACATAGTATATCCCTTGTACAGCTATTTTGTTCCTCATTCCTGCTTACACATTAGTTTTTAGTTAAATGCATGTGCTTCAGCTAGAAAAATGTGACTTGCTGTTGCAGCCTCTGCTGCTGCTATCTGAGGGAACTGGCTTACTCCCTTCTCAGGAAGATGGGTCACCCTGCCAACTATACAAAAGGGCATCCTAGGACAGAAATATCCAATAGCCTGAGCCAAGCCAAAACGAACTTGGGAATCAGCCACTTGTAGCTGCAATAGAAGGGCATCCTTTTTTAGCCCCTAGCCGCATTCACATGGACACTGAGGTAAATACATAGCAATAGCAGAAGTTGAGTTCACACATGGTGTACTTCATAGTACATAGCTACCTTCAAGTAAGCACAGGGGAGGTATATGAGGTATATTATATTATATAACCTGGGCTTATTTCATTAACTGGAAAGCTATGACACTTCCACTTTTTGGTTCCCAACAACAAAAGGATTAATGAAGCAGCAGACCCAAGAAGCTAACACCTCAACACATTCCACACAAATGAAGGCACAGTCTCCACAGAAGAGCTGCTCTGCTGAGAATAGTTGGAAGCAGAATAAGCATCCTGGAAGTTTGTGCATTACAGGTCTTAGTATAACTCAAGGAGCCAGTAAGCATTTGCACCATTTGTTCAAATGAGCAGACACACAGATCAACCCCCTCAATGCAGGTATTAAGGCAGCCACACTGATTCCAGACAGCTTGAATGCTCAGGAGCTGATGAGAACCAGACTTAAGCCTTAGGGCAACTGGCCATTGCAGCCCTTTGTAGGGAGGTAAAGCAGTAGAAACACAGCTACACAGGCAGCTCCCAGGCCAGGTGTTGCTCAAAGCCCTACATCACTGGTTACTGATAAAGAGCAGTTCAATACTAAGGCTTCTACTCAAGAAGCAACAACCCAACAGAGGGAGATTAATATTTCTCCCTCAAAATTCCCATATTCTACTGATCTGTGGAAAACCCCAATGCTGAGAGAGTCATGTCAGGTTTGTCCAGTCTCACACAGACTGCTGGTCTTCATCCACCATCATGATTAATGCTCATGCTTAGAGACAGGTAATTGTCTTAGATTACTCAAACTGGAATTAGCTGTATGCAGAGATATCTAAACTCCAAGAATTCAACAGCCTGTGATGTGGCAGTCAACATTAAGTAACTCTTCAGAGTATTTTTGCCCTGCACAACAGAACTTGATGTAACTTTATTTGAGAAGTTGTATCTACATAGAAATACATTAAGTACATACAAATAACACTGCTTCACTTTTGCTGAAACAGCAAGACATTCTCCAGGAAAGAGATTAATTTTACATGTTTCCCTTCTTTCAGTCTTCCCCTATGGATCAATAAAGTTCACCTCCACAGCAAATGTCTCACTATAGACTTTCCATGTTTTAGATTTGTGAGGATTATCCAGCTCATTCCTGGTAAGGTAGAGTCTGAAAGACAAAATTCAGTAGCATATCTTACAGCCTAAGACATGCTTTTCCTTTCAGCCAGCTGAAAGATCTTCTAGCTCAGCTCTAGAATATTAAATACAGCAGCAGACCTTGAATTTAAACAGACATCAACCATGCCTGCACAGTGTTCTGCATTTTATGCAGTCTCAGAAACAAAGCCAACCTGATGGGTTTGTGGGTTGGCTCCCCACCACCCTCCCAGAGCCCCACCATACAAGACAGAGAGAAGTTAATATTGCGTTCAGCTCAAGGCCTCCTGATATGATGCAAGTGCCAGGAATTTAATGACCAACCTTCCTAAAGGCAAGGATTTGATTCAGTACTCAACCTCATCAGGCATGTTCTCCAATTTTTATGTTTAACAAATTCATGTCTAGTTATCACTTAAAAGCACTTGCACATCAGCCATGTCTGAATTAGAGATACAGAGATAGAAGCACTGTCTTAACAGCTGTTTCACTTCTGATCACACCTAGTCCACTTCAGGTCTACCAGAAGGTCTGGGCAGGAAGGGAGAAAAGATAGCTTAGTGGGGCATCCTCCATAGTTCTGGAGGAAACAAAGCACTTCAGCAAAACCCTTGAGATGGCAATGCTGCAGGCCATCAGACAGCTGGCAGACATTTCTCCTGGAACTGGCTTAATTGGTCTGCATAGCCACTGCAAGGTGCATTGCTGGCTCAACATATTAAGTTAACAGCAACAAACAGACTCATGGCCACCTCTCCTCAGGCTCTAGCAGGATCCATTAAGTAAAAACTGTTTTCTTTCTAGTCCAGTCATGGAGAACATAATAATTATATCTCATATGCCAAATTCACTGTTCCTCTACCTTAATCTGTCGAGCAAGGCAGACCAAAGATAAGGCTATCTTGTCTCTGCATTTCTACATCACTCCCAAAGCAAGTTAGACAAGCCAAACTTTCACCAGCTGGAGCTTCTCTAGGAGTTCCAGTCTCAGCAAACAAAATGACAGAAATTTCTAACTTTGTCAAAAGCATGAGAAGCCATAAGAGGGCCTTTCTTTGTGATCTCAAGCATCAGTACCTCTAACTGTGGTCTTATGTCTGCCTGCTAAGCTACTGAGTTCAGCTCCTCCTCAGGCAGCCATACTATAGAGGATGGCAGATTTGAACAGTTAGCATTACATTTTTTAATTCAAATTCATAAACAATGGTTAGAGAGCACCAAGGAAATAATCCAGTAGTTTAAGTTAAGATAAAAAGCTCCCATATGTTTAAAATATTTGTCACAGCACAAGCAACTGCCTGCAACTACTGTACAAGACCAGTACCCACATGAAAGTTAGTTGGCTGATCAGGATTGCCTTATCTTGGTCTTCCAGCTCTATGCAGACACCAGAAGTTAGGATCTGAAGACATTCACTATGATCACTTACCTGTTATTTTCAATAAAGGAAGTGTTGAACCAGAAAAAGAACGGGCAGTCATCATAGCCTTTTGGGAGAGCCTAAACACAAACACCTTGTTTAAGGACAGTGTTACACAATACAACTTTTGTTTATAGAGCAAGGATACCCACTTTTCCAAATTGGTTTTCAAAGCTACAGTGCCAGAATCAGTGCACTTGAAGAGCTCAGTATCATACACAGATCACTATTTTCTCTGCAATTATTTCAGTAACAAGTCACTCAATACGAGGTGAGACACCAGGTACCCAACTAAGATGCCTTGGTTGTACTGCTGTTTGAACAGTCAGATACTTCCCCTGCTCACCTAGGCTGATGTTCCACCACTTGTTGCATCCCTCACTGCACATTGAGACACAGCAGGAGTCACTGGAGAGGAACAGATTCTGCCCCATGCTGCCCAGTGTGGTTTGCACTGCAGCCTCTCCCCATACCAAACTGAAGGTCTTCACACTGGTATACTTACAGAATTGCATTCAAATCTGACTTTCACATCACCACTTAGGACAGGGCAGTCTTCCAAGCCAATGACTACAGAGTCACTTTCAGAATCAAAGAAGAGCTGGGTAACAGAATAAAGTATTTGTTTTACGAAAGTTTCTGCAGCAAGACAAGTTACCAATTCATGACAGCACCTAACTACTCATTCACGGTACACAAATACAACATCTGTGCTAAAATAACAGACAACAGTTTAAACTGCTCTAACAGAGTGAACTATTTGCATTTAAGTGACTCCCAAGGAAATCTTCCACTATCTTACCACTACATTTCCTAGGATTTGGCAAAGTTTAGCTTTTTCATGCTCTTGGGATTACATCATCTATTTCATTAGACTATGTAGAAATTGAATATTGGACAGAAAACTAAGACACTTCAAACCTATAAATCAGCTTTTAGATTCTGTGACTCAGCTTATGTGTCTTTATAGCACTCACCTTGCAGTTTTTTTGATTGGCACATACACACTGTAGTACAACTTGCTTCTTTATTATTATCTGCACCGTCAAATCAGTTCCATTGCCTTTCCCAATTCCTAGGAACAAAGTGTTGCATTACACCACAGGCATAGACATTAGCTGGAAACACAAGTAGTCATGAAAATCAGGTGCAATCCCATTCAAAAGTGCTTTCTTTCCAGAATGTCTTGCTCGAGACTCTAGAGAACTCAAATGCTAAAAGGTAAGCCAGGATTCAGCAGCTAAAAACTGCATTTTGAAGTTCCCCCCACTAGGGGAACAGGCTAATGTAAAATCTAGTTCCATTTACCAAGCAATAACAGCAGTTTGAATTCCCCTGGAACAAGGAGTGATGAGCTTCCAGCCTTTGATCAAGATTACCAGTACACATGTACTGTAACAGGCATGTAACTAAAGCTCAGAAACATTAGTGGATCCAGTTCCACTGGGGAGTTAGTCTCACTTAAAAAGTGATTTCCCTTCCAAAAAAGAGCAGTTTGTATATGAGTCATCATTTGGTCAGACAAATGATGTGACATATCTATGAAGTGACACAACACAGAGCAACTGACTACAAAATACTCTTCATTCTGTTCTTTGTCATTTAAATTCTCAAATCCCAGTCAGTCTACATTCCTATCATAGGCTTCCCAAGAGAGTGAGTTATCAGCTGCCTATAGCCTAATAGGAGACCATCACCAGATGGAGGAATGCCCAAATACAAGAGTTCTTACCATGTACATTGTGGATTTTGAGGCTTTTTATTTTGAGTTGTCTCTCTGGTGGGAGCTTCAAGTTATACTTGTTTTTCAGGATCTCGTAATACCCAACATACCTACTCTGTAATGCAAAAAACCCAAATATTATGCAGTTTCTGTACCCAACAGATTAATTCTAGGCAAAAGTAGGATTAAAATACATCTTTTACTCCAAGGTTTTAGCTAAAAACATCTTTTACTCCAAGGTTTTAGCTTTTCAAAGTCCAAAGTTAAGAAGAAAGACAATTTTTCTCCTTCCCTTTCCCTGCTGGAACAATATTCTAGACAAATTCAACATCTGCATTTTAAATCAGTATTTAAATTTCATGTTTTATGAGGAATTCTGTACTTTTTAGCTCAGCAAGAAGTGAGGAGCTTTTATATTGTAGCCTTAGGAGACAATGTTTGAACATACAAGATATTTTCATTTTACTGAAGGGCAGATATACTTCTATTTTATACCAGCAATTATAAGTACCCATCAGCAGATTTACTTCCCAACTCTGCATCACACAGAACAGTAAATCAAGATGTGCAAAACTGTTCTGAGGCAAAAACTTGTGTAGTATTTCCCAGTGAATGCAGTCTGCAGAAGAAGCATTTCTCCACCCAAGCCAAATCAGCACCATGGCCATCCCAGGCTAGGCTGCAGGCTTCTATGCATCCTTGTTGAACAGTCCAATTGCCTTACAGTGCCATGCTCCTGTGAGGGTGCCCAAACATGCTGTGGAATCTGCATCTGTGCAGATATTCTAGACCTGACCAGACACATCTGTCCAAGTCATCCTGCTTGAACAGTGGGGCTGGACTGAAAGCATTCCCAATCTCAACAATTCTGTTGTTATCCTAGATATTATACTTCAGATTTGACATTATTATGCAGAGGACAGTATAATGAAAAGGGGAAAGACACAGGGTAACCCTGTCAGCTGCTTGTCTTCCAACTCTCACAGAAAGAGTACAGAAAGTTCAGGAGTTAAGCAAGTAATAAGAACCTACATCTCTGAAACAAGGCAGGGGAGGTGGGGTAGCATAAGCACCCACAAGGTTAGTATTGGTTTGACTACTGTTCCTGAACCTGCTCAAGCTTACCTGTGAGGGAGTTTCAACTCCTTGAAACTTGGTACTTGTGCTTCTATCAGTTCTTCTCTCCCCAAAGTACTCCAAACTTTCCTACACAGGATGATAATTTCAAGGGTTAAGATATCCACCCCACCACCATTCTCCTTCGTGAGAAGTGGATAGTAAACTAGAACTGTAATACTCAAGTCCAGTAAAGGATTGCAAGTGGAAATATGCAACAGTTCTTTTAGTACCTTCTAAAGGAGACTTAACTACAAAAAGGAAGTACTAATTAGGAAGTCAGACAAATCTGTCATTCATGAAAGTGAAGGAAAGGAATATGACTTTAAAGCAATTGCTTTAGAACCGCTTATATTTCTCAAGTGGTCTATAATAGACCAAGCTAAACACTAGATCAAATCTTCACAAGCAAACTCAGAGGAAAACAAGTGATTAAATGAATATACAGTCTTCCCAAGAACGTCTTGTGCCTTCTGCATCCCCAGTCTCCAGCTGATGTATCAGACCTGGGATACAAAAGCAGCATCAGCACCTGTCCTGGCTGGGACTTGTTCTTTCTCCCTTTCCCTAGAAGGGCTTCCTTTTGTAATGTTGGCTGTCAAGACAATTCTTGATGCCTCACACTACTTGGAGGGAGACTGAGAAAAAAACTGCTTAAAACCGGTGATACTATCTTTAGGAGAGTTTGCTCAGAAGTCACCTACAGCTTAAGTTGTTGCTCAAGACCCAAGACATGTTATTCCTCCAAAAAGAATCCTTCAAGTTGGTGACTTCTTAAATGCTATTTTCTTCATCCTTTCAGGTCATGAATAGTCTCCTTCAGAATTTACACTGTAGCAAGACTTGCATGAACTTTTGTAAAACCAGACTTTTCAGAGAATCCTTTTTCTAGTATAGAATTTTTGCAGAGTATTAGTGCATTTCACCAATTCAGTAAATCCTAAAAGCACATTTTGAATACTAAACAAATAAAAAAATAAGCAGTTTTTACCTTTGCACTCTCAAACTGGTCACTGTCTATGAGCCAGGTACAGACCATTGTCCCAGTTCTGCCTGCATCAGACATACAATTCAATTTGAATTACATCAGTTCAAAGGTGTTTGGGATTATTTTTGTGAAGGTGAAGTCATCTCCTGTTATCTCACCTATTTCAAGAATTAGAAGTGATAGTCAAGTAGCCAAGTATTTCTGAAAAGAATGAGTTAAAGACGAGATACTACAGTTTGTCAATTTGTTCCTTGTCCCCACATTTTCATTCCTAGAGACACTAAGGCAGCTGATCAGTATCTGGATACTCCATTCAGCAGGAAACAGAGTCAAGCACTCTACTAAATCAGGATATAAACTGAAACTTCCCAATGCTGTAAGTGCCAAGAGTTGTTTCTCTGCCCAGCTGTTTTCCCTGCAACCCTGCTATGAAGCCATCAAGTCTGCTAGCATAAAGATGCCTATATAGTTTCAGTTTTTAATTTAAAATCTCAGAGGTCAAGTCACCCTCCTCACACTTGTTCTTCAAGCTGATTTTGACCTGCAGGTTGTTGCAACATTCAGTTTTGCAAAACTTTTTAAGACAGAGCTCCACCTGGGGGCAACTATTTAATGTTAAGTAACCACCTACTTTAAGCCAAGTATTTGGAGTAGTAACAGCAGACAGCTAAAGATGTGGCAGATATTTGCAGGGAGATTTGGCTTACTTGCAGTTATTTAAGCATTTCAACAGGTCCCACACCACTGTTGGTTCAGATAGTACCTGCAGGTTAGCTCATATGTTTGATAGCTTTCGCTGTTCTTGCTTCCATAAGACTTTATTGTATCACCTAATATTATGTGTATCTTGATTAAAGATCCAGCAGTACCTGGAACATTCTAGAGGGGTAAAGTTATGGAACAGATCATCTTGGGTGGTATCACACAACAAACAAAGCACAACCAGGGCACTCTTCACTGGGTAAAACCTGTCTGGATGGCCAGGCCCAGAGAATTGTGGTGAACAGAGTTACATCCAGTTGGCAGCTAGTCACTAGTGGTGACCCCAGGGCACACTAGTGAGGCCAGTTCTGTTTAGTGTCTTTACCAACAATCTGGACAAGGGGGTTGAGTGCATCCTCAGTCAGTTTGAAGAGGACACCAAGTTGGGTGTGTGGGAGTGTTGACCTGCTGAAGGGCTGGAAGGCTCTACAGAGGGATGTGGACAGGCTAGATCAATGGGCCAAGGCCAACTGTATGTGGTTCAATAAAGTGAAGGCATGGGACCTGCACTTGGGTCACAACAACTCCACAGAGTGGTACAGGCTCAGGGAAAATTGGCTGAAAAGCAGCCCACTGGAAGAAGACTTGAGGATGTTGGTTAACAACAGCTGAACACGACTCAGAGTGTGCCCAGGAAGGCAAATGACATCCTGGCCTGTATCAGCAATATTCTGGCCAGCAGGACAAGGCAGTGATTGCCGCCCCTCTCTGCTTGTCACTGGAGAGGCTGCACCTTGACTCCTGCATTAAGCTTTGGGCCCCTCACTGCAAGAAAGATATTGAGATGCTAGAGTGTGTCCAGAAAATGGTAACAGAGCTGGGGAATGGTCTGGAGCACAGGTTTTCAAGGAGCAGCTGAGAGAGCTGAGAGTGTTTAGCCTAGGGAAAAGGAGGCTCAGAGGAGACCTTTTTGCTGTAGGGATCATAGTGAGGTGGGGTTGGTCATTTCCATCAAGTAACAAGCAATAGGAAGAGAGGAAGTGGCCTCAGGTTTTCCCAGCGAAATTTAGATTGGATATTAAGAAAAATTTCTTCTCCAACAGGGTTGTCAAACACTGAAACCAGTTGCCCTGGAGAAGTGGCTCAATCATCATTCCTGGAGGTTTTCCAGATGTGCAGGTGTGGAACTGAGAGACACAGTTTAGTGGTGAATTAATGATCAGACTTGATCTTAATGGTCTTTTTCCAACCTACACAATGGATAGTTTGAGCTATACTACAATGTAAAATATTCAGCATAGGTGACTGGCTACCAGAAGCAAAAGCAGCAGCCCAACACTTTTAATAGTAGGAGTTCCAGTAGCCCCCCTATCCCCAGTCTCCTGGGGGACTGCTATCACAGCTGTCAGAACACCACAAAGTTACTGAAGAACATTTTAAGCAACATAATGCCAGCTTAGACTAAGAACTAATTTAGACTACCTAAAAATGGGGTAAAACACTATAGTATTATAATAGTATACTTGTGCTAGTCATCACAGTGTCTGCAGTATTTGTCAAGTTACACTGTAAACCCACCTCATAGTATGGTTTAAGGCTACACTTTAATAAAGAAGCTACAATAACAAAGAAGTGTGGTTTGTAGCATACAGATTGCACATGAGAAATCCTACCTTTTCCTCCTTTACAGTGAATTACTATGATGTTCTTCTCATCTTGACTCATCCATTCACGGACACTGGCAGTGAATTTCAGCATGTCCCTAAATAAGAAGAAAGTTATTGGATCAAGGCAAATGCCTAGATAAGAAATACATACATTGTAATAGTTCTGACAAGACTCACTGCAGTGTTGGGACGTTATGGTCATCAATGAAGATCCTTTCCACCCTGTAGTGAAAGTACTTGGGGTCATAGCCTTTCTCACCTATAGGAAAAGATCTGAAGTTATTCCAGGAAGGGAGAAGGATTGTAACAAAGAAAGTGGTTTATAACACACAATGGCTGGTCTGATCATGTGCTAGTGTCTAAAATACAGCAGTGCTAATAGACAGATTAAAGTGAAAAAATACTGAGGTAACTTGGCTAAAGCCATGCGTGCTTAGCTTCTGGTTTCATACTTTTCACTTACACATAAAATTTAATCTCAAATATAGACAGCAGCTAAAAAACACTTACTGCAGAGATTGTAGACTTTATAGTGGTTTGGATGTTTGGTGTCCAAAAATCTTGCAACTTCCTAAGCAATAACAAGTTCAGAGTAGTTAGTGCTCAACTTGCTATTTCCACTGCCACCTCAACCCCCACCCCCATATGGGATCATGCATTCATGAACAGCCCTTGGAAAGCAGGCCTTTCCAACCTGACAGCTCAGGCTCCTGTCTGGAATAGAAGTACTACTGCAGCTGTCCTCCTGGCCCTATATATGTTTCTACAGTATCAGAAAGCAGAGCTCTGAAAAGGACATTATGTAAACAGACCTTTAAAGCAACTTTATTTAGGTGAATAGATATTATCACCATTACTAGCCTGGGACAGAACTGCCTTGATTCTTCAAAACATTCCCAAAGAACAGGAGCATCAAAGCACTGGTGTGTCCACACTGTGAGATATAAACCATTAGGTTTAGCAGAAACACTACAACATGAGCAGTGCAGCACAGTGGAGATCATCAGTCAGTCATTCCAACCAGCAAAGGCAGCAGAACTAGGGCTGACATTATTTAGGCCACATGTAAATTAGCGGGAACTTAGAAAAGAAACAGGTCTGAGAAACAGTGAATTTTGTTGGTAAGATTTTTACCTTTATGGGATTCCTGTAGAAAGACTGCTTCCCAGAAGATGGAAATGACATTGCAATAATTCGATCTGTTGAGAAGACAGCAATCACAAGTAACAGCAGGAAGCCGTCCTGCACATAAGAACTAGACAACTGAGAAACATCCTTACGAAATGCCTTATTCTTACCCTAATTGTAAGAACAATCTATCCATTTCTGGTACATTTAGCATATCCATTTCCTCTACATTTAACATAGCTAGAGCAAGACAAATTCTTCCCATTTGTCAATGGGAATCATTTGCATCAGCCATCATCAAGTGTCAGTCTCCAAAGAATCAGAAGCAAAAATACTGTAAGTAAATAGTTTCCCAGCACTGGTTCCCTAGGCCTCAGATAAATTTCTATCATTACATACAGCATGTACAACTCTCCCAGAAGGCTAATTCTGGAGAATAGTGTCAGTCAGGAATCCATAATTTAAAATCCCACAGAAAAGGAGTAGGCCTAGTTTGACTTCATACTTAAATTTCGTTGAGTCTAAAACACTGTCTGTATTTCACTGCATGCTCTTATTAACTGAAAAACAAGTCTTTGCAGGACATAACATGCTGCAAAGCAACATTTGTTTCCACAAACCAGTAATATAAGTGAGATCCAGATCAAAGCCATCTTTCATATAACGTCTTTTGTTTTCAGAGACCTGACAAAAAAAAAAAGAAAAAAAAAAAAAGCAAGAGTTAACCTTCCACAAGAATGCCAACAATTATCAAGCATTTCCTGTTACTAGGAAAGTTCAACTATCCAGACTCTCCAGTTAAGCTTGAGTAGCAGAGTCTCATTTCATTACAGCATTATCCAAGAGCAAATTCCTCTCTAGGCAAAAGCTCTGTAGAGAATTAAAATCTTAAATATCAAAATTTATTCTAGTGAAAAGAACACTGCAGATTCTATGAATACTGCAGCATGAATCTGTCATTTTTATTTGAGTGTTTGGTGACTGAGGGAAAAAAGTATAAAGTTAAGGGTACTATAACCAAGACTGCTTATTCCTAAACAATAGGACATACTTGAAGCTTAAAGTACCACTTCAATGCCTTTGATGAAAATAAGAGTCATTGACAGTGGATAGGGCTTCAACAGCTAGATTGCTTTGCTTGCACCCAAGATAAAGCATCACACACATTAAAACTCCTACCTTCCCCCATGTGAGGGAAAACAGTCGAAGTACCACACAAGCTAGAAATTGCCAGCTGAGATACACAGGGTGTTGCAATCACTTTGACATACTGGCCTTCCAGGTCAAGTTGCTGCTTACTTGAGCAAAGCTGAGATTGACAAGGCTTTCCTGAAGCTGGAGGCAAAGCTCCAGAGCCCTGTCAGGGACATGGAACAGATGTGCTGCTTGGGCAACTATCAATTGCAGACCAATAGGCCACGATCGGTCTTGCTACTTACCACTGATGCTGCCTGAAGAAAGAGTTGGAAACAGTAGTCATAGTCCAGATATGTTAAGAGGCCAACTTACCATTCTCCTGGTCACCATTTCCAGATGCTGCTTTTGTGAAGCCAGGAGAAATACTCTTATCAAGATGACAATTCTCAGAATTCGGAAGAAAATAACCATTCTAGATGACAGATTCACCATGAAAGAAAATCAACACAAATAAACTTACAGGCAAAGATTAAAGCTGTTTAAAAGCTATTTCAGGGAAAGTTTAAAACTTTGTTTCATATGTTGAACTAGAACATTTCAGGCTGATTTTGGAACAAATACAGTATCATGGGTTTATTGTTAAGGATTTTTTGTGAGTACATGTTCTCAACAGCTAACAGAACTAGGAAATCCCCTACTCGCTAAAACAGACTTCCACAGGCATGTCTGGCTAGAAAGCAACAAATTCCATTAACATTACCCATGTTATCACCAAGTTTTTGTTTCCTTGAAGCTTATTCTCAACTATACATTTGAGTGTATGTAGCCACCTGAAAAATAACTAAAAAGAAGCTAGCCAGGATAACTACATCATGACTTAAGAAACCTGAGAACAGATCAGTATATATCCTCTGTTTAATCATTCAGCAACCTGAACACTTGATTTAGTTTGCGGAATTTTGAACTATTGTTGAACTTTGAAGCAGGAAAGAAGCTTAGGTGAGAGTTTCTATCAAAAGAACTGAAAAAGAGCAGCTGCTTTCCAAGTCCTAGGGACAAGGGCAAACTAATATTGAATTCATTCTTTAAGGAGCTAAGTGGGCATGTATTTTAAGCAGCACACACACATTCTAGGTTTTGATACATTTGTGTAAAAATGCTGGTGAATATTTGTGGTGGTTCTTTAGCACCTCATAGGTTATCATCTAATCAGGATACAGAAATCAGAAGGAAATAGGACATGAAGCAGCTTAAGCACATAAATAGCATGTTTCCTCTCCCCAAAAGCATGGCTGAAAAACCCATCATATATTACCATGAGATGTTTGGGAAAGCAAAGCGAAGGAAACAAGACAGTTTGGCAACTCTTTCTATTGTAAGATCCTTTAGACAAGATCCTCCCTTTGCTGCCTGTTACATTTGCTATGATACTCCAACTCTTCTTTCTGACCTTCTTCAGACCCTCCTCTCTATTATGGCTTTCACCTTTCCCCAAAAAATGCTTGAGCCAGAGCATCTGATGGCCTCACTTTTAGTTACCCCAACTAGCATGTTCAGATCCCCTCTGCCTTTGAGGCAGGGGCAGCCTACAGCATAACCACAGACCAAAGCTGTGTGTCTGTCCTTCACTGGTCTGTACCATGACACACCATCACAGTCCCATTTGTGATCTCATATGCACACATCTGGCTTAGAAGTGACCAAGAAAATTCTTAGAAGATTATCAAGAAAAGAGCTCACACTCACCAGCTGCTATACCACTCTTACCTTGGTATCTCCTCTTCTACATCAAGGTCTAAGAAGGCGTACATCAAATTTATTAACAGGGTGCCCACCACTATACATGCATCCAAAACATTCAGTCTGGACTGGAAATAGTTCCTGAAGCTGAAACCAAGCAGAATCTTAGACAGATGCCAATATAGGTAGCAAAGACTGAAATATATCTTCAAGAAGAGAACCATCTGTACAGAGCTACTGCTGGAGACAAGCTGTCCTACAGCTGTTCTTAACACTAAGCACTGAAGTCTCACTAAGAAAGCAATCTTACCCCTGATTTATGCACTAGTTATGGCAAAGCTGATGTAGCTTCTGAGTGCTCACTTATACTGAAAACACATATAGGTTGTTCTACAGAAGGGCAACCACCACAGACACAGCCAAGAAAAGACATGGCTATTATCTGCAAGCAGAAAATTAGCCTACGGGACACCATGTTCATAGTTCAAACTTGTTCCTTCCTAGCTCGAGGACTTGCCATGTGGACTTAATTTTTGCCCATGTCTTACCCTTCAACAAACACCCTCAGGAGAACATCGATGAGAAAGAAGAGTGCTATTGCCAGGGAAACAAACTCAGGAATCTCTGTACCCTTCTCTGTCTCACTGATAGCCAGATCCAGAATCACAACTATGATGTCCACAAAGATAAGTACAACTCCAAAGACTCTGCAAAGAGAAAAATACAAGTTTGAGAGGCAGGAATGAACATTTATCAACTAAACAGCACAAACCCTGATTTCTAAACTGTTCCAGCAAGAGTGTGTTCTCTTACATAGACTGAAGCCTGCTTAATTAGAATCTGAAGGTTTCCAATTGCATATTTAAGTAATATACACGGAGACCATAATCCATGTGGAACCACACATTTATCTCAAACACAGCTGCAGTTTTTAATTTATGACTTCACAGCTACCTAGATGCAGTGCAAACCTGAATGCTTTAAGGCATGCAAGTATCATTGCTGCTTTCACCTTACTCAGCTTCCCTCCCTCTCATGACTTAATACAGTCCTTTAAGAATAACTGTCTTTAATGGCTTGCCTTGTTCCAGCACCTAGAGCACACACAACTGACCAGCTGTTTGTTCAAAGGCTGGCAGTCAAGAATAAGCCATTACAGAGATTTTATCCAAGTCAATGACATTTGCAATTCCAACTTGCATCTCTTCTTTGAAAATGTAGTCATATCTGTTTAAGTCTTATTTGTCATTTCTAGTACTTTTCTCAAGTTTCCTTTCCTGTGGGTGACAAGGGAATCAGTACATTTAGACAAATCAACCTGGAGTTACTGATGCTTAAGGAACTCTCCAAGTGCTTACACCAGAAATGAGGACTATTTTTACCTTCCCCACATCATTACAAGCTCAAGCTTTTACCTGAATCCAAATGACATCACAAATGGGGTAACTCTTCTCCTAGTTGCACTGCAAGAGAAAAGAACTGACATCAAGACAAGTGATATTTTTCTACAGATATTCACCACAAGGGCACTGTTATATTCTTTTGTTCACATTCCTTTGGTGTTAGTGTTCTGCATACTAGTGATTTCTCTAAGATGAGATTACTCAGTTGCATTTATGAAGCATATAGGTTAAGAGAGTACTTGAAAACTGTGCTTTGATCACTTGTTAGAAAAAGTATTACTCAGCTTCCAGACCGTAGAAATACAGTAGTATATACTTATCCATAGCATTATTCCATGTCACAATTCCAGTGACACTTGAACTCTGGCTTAGTAAGCTATAAGAAGTGAGTTTATATAACAGCTATTGGTCAAGAGGAAGATTGGAAGATAAACACCTCTTAATATATTTTGTTACATATATTGGCTTATTGTATCTTGACCATTTTTTTTTTTCCCAGTCTTGAAAAGAGCTGCACTTGTTCACAGCTCCTGTGCCTTTGGAATAGAGGGGTATAAATCCCACTTCTACTTTAAAAAGGAAACATCAGTTTGGCTTTCAGATTGAAATCCCAAATATCTTTCAAGAAAAAGTATTTCTGAAGTCAAGTTCTTCCAGCTGGAGAATTATCGTCAGTCCTAGAAGGGTCACAGTTCTTGTTTCCAATTACAGTAGATTTTGTTGCCTCTTTGGTATGCTTTAAGTCCTCTGGTTTAGAACAAAGCTTTTATGTAACTCTTTCTGGCTGGAAGACTCTTTACATTACACCAAGAACTAAGGTAGAAATTCTTGGTGTAGAACCTGCAAATCTCAAGTGCTGACAGTTTGAAAAACAGACTGCCAGTCTTAAGTAATCCCATGATTACTTACTACTGTAAGCATCAATTCTTTTCTTAGACACTTAGAAGAAAACACCTTTTTTCAAGCATATCACTAATGGCAGGACTTATCATTTGTCCTAACATATTGACAAAAAGTATCGATAGATTTATTTTTCACTGTTACAAGAAGTTTTTGTCAGCTGAGTAATGCACATTCATGCCAGTGATCCTGTCCAGAATACTTGCTTCCTCTACGACAACTTGAGCATTGCATTTCACTTGGTGCACTTCAATAATCCAGTTTAAGGCAAGGCTAGATACCATTGAAGTGCTGAGGCAGCATCTTGCTTGGGTCACTGCATTAACCCACACTTTTCATTATTAGGTTCTTACTCTAAACTAAGGTACAAGGTCTAACCAGAAAACATTTCCACTCTTTAGCTGGAAGGATATATGAGGTATATTGCAGTATTCACTTTTCCTATAGAAGTCAAGGATGTAATACCATATCTTGTCCTGAAGGCAGCTTGACATATAGAAGGTTTTCCCGGTATTTATGAATGCCAAATATTTAAGGAAACACTGCAATAGTAACACTAATGGTTTACTGGTCTGTGTCTGTCCAGTCAATACTATTATGATAGTGGGGACACCAAGACTTCAGCTTTCACAGTCTGTGGACAAGTACCTCTAACTAAGTACACTACAGACCGAAATATACACACACCATCCCAACTTGGCCTGCCAACATCTTAAATCAGTTGAAGGAAACACAGCACATTTGATTACATAGTTAGCTTAGAGCTTTTGTGATATATATTTGTAAATTCTGACTTCTGAAATCTAGAAAAACATGTTGTCACATAGAATAACTGAAATAACAGATTTAGGTTTACTGTTCTTGAGCTGCAAGACTTGCCACTGACTTGACTAAGTTTGCTGTAAGAGTAACTGTAAACACTGTCAGGAAACTGACAGTAAACACTGTCAGGAAATAACTGCTTCAAGAATAGAGTTAACTACTAGCATGTTCAGACAATTTAGTCTTGATGAGCTCCACAATGCTTATTCTTTTGCCCAGATACTCATTCACCTCATTCTCTCACCACCACTTGTTCTTCTGTGCTCTCACAAATTCATTTCTTTGGGAAAACTTAATCAATGTTGTTTGGATTACTCATTCTCCATAATTTGATGGACTTGTGTTCTTGGGTTGGGCTTTCATCTCTAGAGGGATAAAGAGGATTCCTCAACTTGTCTTCACTATGTCCAAGAAGAAATGTCAATATCAAGCATTTTACTGGGCTTATCTCTACTTCAATAAGCCACCTGCCTTCTTATTTTGGCTCATCAGATTACCCTTCTGGGAGTAAGCAAAGAAATTTATTATATCATGAGCTTACTTGGAAAAGCTGTCGGATCCATTATGCTCATCACGACCATTATCAATCTTTACTGTGGCCTCTTCAGCTGTTGGATAGCTGGCAAAGAAATAATACAAGTCATACACTGATAGAGATGTCAATTCTGGTTATTGCTATGCTTGTTGTTCCAAAAAAAAATAAAAAAAAATTAACTGCCAAGTAAGCAGCAGCCTGAGCCAGAGCAAGGCCCAGTACCAGGGGAAGAAAGACTTCCCCTATGCTGGCATAGCTGAACCCCTTGGCTTGTGCTGATCTATTTCCCATTAGCAGCCCCCTTCTCAAAAGTTTTCCCTTTTCCTCCCCCCTAAAGAGAGAGAAGTGTTCAGCAATAGGATAAAGGGCTTTGAAGCAAGGCACCCACAAGTCTGCTAAGGACTCAACAGTCCAGGCTCTAGAAGCACCGGAAATATGCTTATGCAAAATGGCTTCAGAGAGTCCAAGTGACATTAATACTTTCACAGTGACCTTGTACAGAGAATTAAGGTTTTCACCAGGAAAAGACATAGCATAGAGATGTTTTTGTGCAGAGCAGGATACCAGACCGGAAACTGGAAGACCAGAGCAGTAGCTGAGCTAGTGCTAGAACAGCAGTATTTTGGGGTAGTGGCTGCTTGCCATAACTTCCTTAAAAAGGTCTCTTCAGATCAAGTTTTTGTTTTTTTGAAGGCCACAAGACAATTTCAGAGAAAAAGTGTAGCATAAAAATCCAGGAGTCGTTATTTCAGTCGTCTCCACAGAAATACTGTGATGCACAACAGCACAGTCAGTGTTTGCTGAGGCTCTGCCTCTGGTTTCACTGCTTTATGGGCAGGAACAGCTAAATACACATATCCAATATTGATGTTTCCATGCTGTTCTGAGGCAGCCTAGCCTGATTGAAGCATTAGTGTAATAATTCTGAGGATTCAAATGTTCGTCATCCTCCACAACAGACATATGCACCAGCACTGTTTCTGCAGTCTAGGCTAACCACCTTTTAAGGAAGAAGTTTCATGATGCTTCTCCTACAGTTTCAGCAACCAGTACTGATGCTTTACCACCTGTACTCAGTGTCAGGCTCACTAGAAGAATTATTCTGATACAACAATCCTAACATTCAAGCCTCATTTCCCAGCTCCAGTGTTTCCAGTGAAACCAGCGTCCTCATTCTGTTCCTAGAGCAAAGCAAAGCTCTAGTGATGGATAGGCATTCAGGTTTGCTGCCCAGCTACTCTTACAGAATATTCACTTGGGTGTTTATACTTACTGAACAGCAGAAATGCTTCACTTATTAAAGCCTGCTACTGCTGCAGCAATTTTGCTGCAGGTCACTTGCTTATACTTGCAGACACATGAAGTGCACCAAACAGCACCTTCTTATCCTCTACTGTGATTAAAATATGCCACAAGAAGAATGAGAAACAAAAGTGTTTTCAGTTAGGAAGACAATCTTTAATACAAAGATAAAACAGAAGTTAAGTCCAAGTACACTGTTTCCATAGTGCTCCCACACAAAAGTTCAGTTCTAGATAATGCTTTCCTCAGAGGGAGTTTGTTTTGCTCACCATTCTACATCTACTTGTTGTCCAAGACAGAACAAGCTCTCAGCCACAAGCTACTACAATTGGGCTTTGACTATGGGAGTAGAAGAGAATAAAAGGAAGACATATTAGAAGAATTTGTTTCCTTCATGCATACACTTCATACAGAGCATAAGCTTTTCTGACTGCTCATAGCTGAAGGGAGGTTCAGAGTTGAGGCTTTTAAAACAAGCAGAAAAAGAACATCTTGCTCTACAAGAGACCTTGACACTCTCTTGTAAGTCTCTTGACAGTCTGGATGCTAAAAGCAAACTTTAATGCCATGGGCTTATTATACCAGGCATAGAGACCTTGTACTCATTAATCACTTACTAGCTACTTACAAGAAGTGAATCAAAACAGCATATTTCTCTCAAAGATATCCCTCCTTTCAGACAGCAGCACTGGTGGGAGAGGGGAGATAAAAGGACTGTATGCTACATAAAGTTCAGACATGGCATCATTATTCCCTTTTTTGTATTTGAAGCACTAAAAACCTAAAGACAGGGGACCACACACCCCATATTCAATCCCAAACCCCTCACAATTCATTACACTCACCCAGATGATTCTCTTGGTTGGGTCCCTTGTTCATACCTCACAGCTGTCATTTTGCCTGTTGTTGCCCTGCTGGTCTGAAGAGAAGCGCACCAAATTAAAGTGAAACAGTACGAGAAACAGCGAATAGCAGCATCCTATAGTAGCCTCACCCTCACGGTCCCAGCAGCCAGGCTTTTGCTTAATTTTCAAGTATTTCCACCCTACGGTTGACAAAGCTCAATCTTTTAACTATCAAGCATCAAGGCAGTCAGCACTCCGATTAAAGGGCTTTTGACTACACCAACTATGCCACAGCGATAACAGCATCTTTACCTCACGACGAAGTGTTTCGCCCTGCTTCAAGCTCTGAAACACAGAGGAGCCCCAGCTGGCACCGCTGGGAGAGCTGCGGGCGCGGACTGAACCGCAGGGAGCAGGTCCGGGAGCTGCCTGCCGGCACACAGCAGCTTCCCGGACGGGAGGCCCGCACCGCGTCCCGCTGCATCCGCTAGCGCAGACCCCCCGGAGCCCTCCCCCCGCCCCACCTCGGCCGCCGGGCTCAAAGTCGAGCGTGGACACCGCCCCCGGCGCCCCGCGGACTCAGCGGAAAGTTGGGTTAAACTTCCTGAGGGCTGTATCCCGGCCCTCCCGGNCAACGGCCCCGCGCCGCCCCCGCACCGCCCGCACAGGCCGCGGCCTTCCCCATCCCCCGGGGCGCGCCGGTGGGCGAGACCCGCTTGGGTCGGAATGTCGATCTGCTGCAGGGTGGGAAGGCCCTGCAGGGGGATCTGCACTGGCTGTAACGATGGGCCGAGACCCAACAGCATGAGGTTCAACAAGGCCAAATGCCAGGTCCTGCACTTGGGTCACAGCAACCACAGCGCTACAGGCTGGGGGCAGAGTGTCTGGAAAGCTGCCCCGCAGAAAAGGACCTGGGGGTGCTGGTCGATAGCGGCTGAACATGAGCCAGGAGGCCGTGGCCCAGGTGGGCAAGAAGGCCAATGGCATCCTGTCCTGCACCAGCAATAGTGTGGCCGGCAGGAGCAGGGCAGTGAGTTCAGCACTAGTGAGGCCACACCTCCAGTAATGCGTCCAGTTCTGGGCCCCTTAACTCAGGAAAGACACTGGGGTGCTGGAGAAGGTAACAGAGGTGGTGATGGGTCTGGAACACAAGGTCTACAAGGTGCAGTCAAGTGCACCTGGGGTTATTTAGCCTGAAGAGGAGATGCTCAGGGCAGACATCACTCCACTAAACTGCCTGACAGGAGGGTGGAGCCAGATGGGTCAGCCTCTTGTCCCAAGTAAATAGTGACAGGACAAAAAGAGATAGTCTAAGGTTTATGTTGGACATTAAAGAATTTCTTCAAAGAAGGAGAAAATACACATTGGAACAGACTGCCCAGGGAGTTGGTAGATTGACCATCCCTGGAAGCGTTCAAGGAAAGACTGGACATGGCACCTTAATGCCATTGCCTAATTGATACAGGGGTGTTCAGACATAGATTGGGCTCGATGATTGCTGGAGTCTTTTCCAACCCTATTGATTCTGTAGTTCTGTGTGGGGCCACACTGCCCCCAGCCCATGAAACCCCAGCCAGCCCTACCATCTGCTTCCAAGTTCCAGCCTCGCAGTTTTTGTAAACTTTTCTGCTGTTGTGATTTGATGCCTCTCAATGCTCTTCTCATGGCATGACAGCTTTGAGGGGCTGCACTCGAGGCAGGGCCAGTGCAGGCCGGGCAAGGGCTGCAGGCCAACCAGTCTCCCACAGCCCGTGGCAGCTCTTGCCATCATCCAGGGCAGAGCTTCACAGTGAGCATGTGGATTTTCACACGGCATCGAACACTTAAGTTTTCGCAGAATCGGAGCCTCCAGAATGTGATGTGTTACCCTGTGCTGTGCAGAGGCTTCACGCCTACCTCGTTACCGGCAGCCAAGTGAGGAGCAGTGCCTGGGCATCCCACGGTACAGCGGTGCTGCTGTGGCTGCTGAGGCCGGGGTTGCGCCGGAGAGGCTTTCTGCAGGACACCAGAGGGAGCCCAAAGCGAGCTTTTAGCGGCTGCTCCCAGGGCTGCTGGGGCTTGGAAGGGGGAGATGCGGTAACTGATGGCAGGAGCCTGTCGGGATGCTCCCTGCCCAAAAGAAATAAAATCCTTGAGGTGAATGCTGAGAATGGGGAACACTTCTGAGCACTACACTAAAGAGAAAGTTTTCCCTTCCAGTATGTATAAATACATAAATATCTAGTACAGATACTGATAACAAGTAACAGAAACATAGAATCATAGAATATCTGGACTTGGAAGGATCCACAAAGATCATCGAAGTCCAGCTCCTTGACACTTCAAGAATCCTGAGAGTGATTTCTTGAACTCTGTCAGGCTGGTGCTGTGATCACTTCCCTGGGGAGCCTGTTCCAGTGCCCAACCACCCCCTGGGTGAAGAACCATTTTCCAATATCCAGCCCAGACCTTCTCAGACACCTGCAGATCATTCCCTCAGATCCTGTCATTTGGCATCACAGAGAAGTGATCAGTGCCTGCCCCTCCCCTTCCCCTCATGAGGAACCTGTAGACTGCAGTGTGGTTTCCCCTCAGCCTCCTCCAGGCTGAACAGACCAAGTGCCCTCAGCCACTCCTCACACACCTCATACTCAAGGATCTTCACCATCTTCGTTGTCATCTTTTGAACACTCTCTAAGAGCTTAATGTCTGTCTTATATTGTAGCACCCAGAACTGCCCCCAGCACTGGAGGTGAGGCTGCCCCAGCTCAGAGCAGAGCAGGACAATCCCCTCCCTTGCCTGGCTGCCCATGCTGTGCCTGATGCCCCCCAGGACAGGGTTGGCTCTCCTGGGTGCCAGGGCACTGCTGGCTCATGTTCAACTTGCCATCGACCAGGACTCATCCCCTGCGTTGCCTGACAAATTTGTCTTTGTTAAACTTCATGAGGTTGGTGCGAAGTATGTTTTGTATATTCAAATAATTATGTATTTGATAAGCAGCTAAACAAGGTTGGAAACTAAATTTGATGATGAGAAGAAACATTCAATTAATTTTCTCTTAAAAAAAAAGCTACATGTGCAGTGTAGAGAAAGAAAACAAAGGGAACTTGTAACTGAGAGAACAAAGAGCATATAGTTAGAAAGAAAAGAATATTCAGTCAAGGCAGGAAAGATGTAAAAAAAATTAAAAAATGTAACAAGTAGCAGGTGCACAGTAGTTTGTAGAAAGAACTATTATATAAGCATTTATCTATGAGAGAAAAATCTGATGTTGCTTATTAGGGAACTGATCACAAATATTATTGGTTAGCAAGCTTACTAAGTATACTATTGGCTATCCAGGCTCATGCTATTCTAACTTGATGGTGAAAATACTATAAAAGCTATGCACATTTTTAATAAACATCTCTGGTTATACCGTGACTGGGGACAGTGTTTCTTTCATGCACTTGCAGTGCAGGTAACTTAGTAAATGCTTGATCCTGTGGAAGGAGTGGGGATCCTGTGAATTAGTCTCAGCAGGAGCTTACACCTGTGGAGCATCTCCGCAGTGGAAGTAGTGGGGAAGGCCCACATCAGAGAAGAGTGTAGAAATACAGAAATCCAGTTTCCCCTGTCCTGGGCTCTGGAAGCACCAAGGTGTGAATAGGTCCAATAGAATAAGAAGTGGACTTCTCACAGAACAACATGTAAAAATCTGCCAAAGGAGGGGCTGGAGGTGGGAGGCTTCCAATTTGGCACCCAGGCTCAATTCAAGGGCTGGCCAGCTAAAGGTTGCAGGTACACTTTGAAAAGAAGAACAGCTCTTCCCAGTTTTCATCAAATAGATAGATGCTGCATTGCCAGTGATACTGATTAATGCTGTCTGCTTCTTTCAATGTTGCTAATCTTACAGCACTGGTGATTCTGTAGAATATTTGCCATCTCTCATGTGTCATTATGAGTTTCTTGGTGGTTGATCTATTTTATTAAGATCCTAGCTTCTGGACTCAGATAATTAAAATAAAAACACTACCTTTTACTAGTGAAATTAAATTTCTATGTCTCAGCTGGTAGAGAAAAGCATAGGAACAAGATCCGAGGTTCATAAACCCAAAAGTAAAAAGGAAGCATTGAAAGTGTTCTGTTTTTTAAATTCAAGACTTGTAAATACTTTTCATTATATTTTTGCTGGTTAAGTAATGATACTGATATTTAATAACCCTTGAGAATCCCATTCTGATCCTCTGACAATTTTTCATCAGTGTAAAATAACTGAATTGTCAAAAAAATTCAAAAAATATTTAAATATTTAGTAAATAATCCAGTTACATACTGGCTAAAGAGCAGGATTAAGTATGTAGTTCTCAGAGGGGTGATGACATACTTTGTGTTCCAAAAATAACAGAGAAGGTGGTAAACAGAATCTCTTAACTTGACGGATTTTAAAATTGGTAGGTATTGCTCTTCTATATCTGATTCTTTTAAGACAGACAAGAAAAATAATTACATTTTTATTAAGTCTTGAGATAGCAGAAATAGGAACCTAAGTGGGTAAAAAATTAATTCTCTGCCAGTATTAAAACAGGTAGATCAGATGACCTGATGGTGATAGTTTGTCAGCTTGGCTCTTCTCCCTGAGAAATGAGAGCAGATTAGACAGAGGGTTTTGACTAATAAAATATTAAATATTAATAATATAAGCAATAATAATAATAATTGCAAATCAACATGTGATTAGGGAAAATAATTGTGTCAAATATATTTCTAAAATAAGATTGCAAGTTTTACTGCTAAAATAAAAAGTATTTTGTTGCTTCTGTAAGCAACTGACTGGCTAGAAAATAACTTTGATTAAAAAGGTTCATTCAATCCATTTCACATTTATGTAAGTGCAGAACACTAGTCTTAAAATAACTAAAAGAGAAAGCATCCTTAAGCAATTATTTTCCTGAGAGATTCTGCAGGGATTGGGTGTTGTTTTACACTGTTTAATGATGCATTGTTTTGTTTTAAACCATGGCCTGGATAAAATCCTGAGTGATGAGGTTTGCAGCTGACACAGAGGTTGTAACCATGGTCCAATAGAATAAGAACAACTGCCTGGCACTGAGTGAATTGTAATCCACTGTCCATCTCAGAACACAAGACCTCAGGATGATGTTTGGTACCCTTGGTACCATGCAACATGTGTTAAAAACGTTGTAGGTCTGCTTACAGTCCCTCTAACTCCCAGCAAGGCACCTGCCACCTGCATGGCCTGTGTGTGCATATGTGGAAAAGCTGGCAGGCAGTTCTGGACTAACTTCTCAGGTGTTGTGAATCACAGACATCCTGACTGCGCTGGGTAACACTGTACAGGTGAGACTTGGAGCATCAGTGACAGAGGAAGTCAGGTAACACTGAAAAGTCCTGGAGCAACAGCAGGGATTAACCAGTGATAGATGATTGTGAGATCCTTGGATCCACAAACAGGAATGATTTTGGAAATATTGCCTGAGCTCTTTATATGGCTCTTAATGTGAGTGACTTAATCACAGTCAGACAGGGCTGGATCTGGAAAAAGGACAAGGTGCCCCACAAGAGGTGTAAGCAGACTTACAGCACCAACATTTAAGTTTATAAAGGCATTTTTTCAGCAGCTGCCTAACCTTTGAGGCAGTTAAATTGATTTGGCACCTGCCTGTTGGGCTGCAGAGATCCCCCCAGAACCTGCAGTTCTGCTCCTGTCCTGACCACATATCTCTGCTGCTTGTCCCTGTTTAGGGCAAATCAGGCTCCCAAATTGCAAAGTATTGCAGTTCCTGGAGCCACCTCAACATGCCCAGTGAGACCACCTCCACCACACCCTCTCATACACCACCCACAGCTCTTCTCACTTCTGTGTACTTGTTCTACATTAAACTGCCCTGAATGAAATCTCTTAGGAGCAGAACTTGTTCCTGCCCTTCCTCTCCATGCCAAGTGCCCTGCTCACGAGTGTGGTGTGCTTGTGCTGTGCTCCTCAGCCCTGCCTAGGAAAAGCTCCAAGCAGCCCCTTGCTCCATGATCCTGCTGGGTTTCCAGCACACACACCCACAGCCAAAGCAGATAATGGAGGTTTGGATTCCCAGCCAGGAGCAAGCACACAGCTCCTGTGTTTGGACCAATCCTTTGAGGGCTCTTCCCCTTCTCAGAGTAAGGCATCATGAAATTAAAAGGCTGCAGGATGAGACTTGGGAGATTCAAACTCAGAGAAAAAAAATTAATTAATTCAAGTAGTTAAAGAGTGGAAGAACATGCTGAGGTTTGTGGCTTGTTCTTTTTCACTAAAAATTTTACAGCAAAATGTCTTTTTCTCAAAGGGAAGTTCCAGTTCAAATGGGCGTGAATTAGGTCAGAGAAGTTTTCTGACCTGAAGTAGGTAGAAGATCATGGAATCCTCATACTCCCTCTGGTCTTGTGATTAATTCCCTTTGGTATAGCTATTCCTGACATGGGATTGCTGGGACCTGTGCTTGCCCTCAGGAACTTACAAACTAATTACATTTGTTGTGTCAACCCATTAGATACTTACAGGCTGCATGCAGACTCATTAGTTAAACTGAATTATGTATTTGCCCTTTGAACGTTATCAAAATATTCAAATCTAGCATGTTTCATGGTCTGCCACTACTGCTTCTTCTTTGTACACAAATTTCTGTGGTTACTCCTTGCTTACCAACCACAGACTTTTCATGCGCAAATACCGGTTTCGGTTATTTCAGAGGCTGAAACTCTGGTGACTGATGTCATCCTGGTCTTTTAAATTTATCTTACCTTTGATGAAACCCTTTATTGTTAGATTAAAAAACAATAAATATTTGTTTCAGATCTCATATATTAACTTTGTTTTAAAAAACCTGGCAGCCCAGATTCCTGCAGAGATTTATACTAGCTCAAACATCAAGGGCCTGCAGGCCCCTGGTAGGTACCTCCACACCTGCAGTGCCTGCAAAGGAGCCTGGTCTGCAGTCTCTCCCAGTGATCAGGGTGCTCATGGAAAGGTGGGATGTGACAGGAAAGTATAAAAATAATGCACATGCATAGAGCACCTGGATTCATGGCAAGTAATCTGTTTAGCTTTGAGCTGGGTCCAGACTACCCTGTATTTTCATAGAGCACAGGTAAGCAGTCAGACTCTTGCTGTGAAATCCTCAGGTCTCTCTACCTCCTTTGAAGCCTGAGGCAGTCTGTCTCATTTCTTGCCTTTCCCCTTTAAGAGCAAACAATCAACAAGAAACTGGTCTTGGAAGAGTTTTGAAATGCCACTAATGTCTTCCAGCTGCAGTGATGTTCCTTTGGGCTTTGAAGGTGTTAATATCCATCAGGTGTCATGTTCTTGTCTTCATCCCAAGCCATTTTTTCCCCATAACTGTAGGAATATCAAGAGCTACACCAGAGCCATGTTCTTCAGTCACATTTATCCACCAGTTTGCATGTGCAGGTATTGCATTTAATGTGTGAATAATAGTTTTTGTGACTACTATTCAGTGCCTACCTACTTTCGTTGGAAGGAAGGTGGAGGACAGCAGGGTAGGAAGGTTTTTAGTTAATAAGACTGTCATTTTTTGCTGACAAAATCACTGAGTATCTTAAGAAAAGGGAATCTGATCTCCTTCCAAGTAACTAAACAGGAATTTGCATTCCAGAATATTTGTGAAACATATGTATTCCAGGAAAAAAAAAACAACCCGGCATTTATTGTCACATTGCCCAGGGATTTCAACATCTGTGAGGAAACACTGGCAATCACAGTGTCCACATTCTTTATGATAACTTGATTATTTTAGCTCTGAGCCAGTGGAGTAGTACCTGAAAATACTCTCCTGTTAGACCCACCTCATGTGAACTCAACCTTATGGCAACTTCTCTTTTGTGCTTCAGATATTCCTAAAGCTTTCTCTAGCCTGGGAAAATAAGTTAATCATGAAACAAGATGCAAGAACCATTTTCCAGCTGAGTGGGATTTTCACATGCAGATGTTGCTGATGTGAACATTGGTGTAGGCCTACAGGCAGCGTGAGAGTGCTCCAGATGTCTTGGCTCTGAGAGATGTTTTGGCAGCCACTGAACAAGGGTTGGAGATTGAGTCTTGTTCCTGCAAAGCTGCAGCGACAAAGCACACATGTGAGTTTCCCTGGCACTGGAGTTTCACTGCTTCCTTCTGCCCTGGGACCAGCAGAACTTAATGCTACAAGGCCATAATCATATGGCCCTGCAGACACTGACTGTGCTACCCAAACCACAACTCCAACACTGACACTACAACCTCGGCCCTGTCTCTGATCCCACATGGGATCAGGATATGCTCACAGGCCAATGAGATTTTTGGCCACCTAGACAAGAGCACAAATCATTATACAACATCTTGAGTGCTGTCTGGATGGGTTCAGCTGAGAAAGAGTTGCTGCTGCTGGTGAAAGCCCCAGGGGATGATGTGCAGCCTCCCTGTGCTCCAGTGTGTGGTACCTGAGCACCCCGCTGCCAAACAGGCAGAAAAAAGGGCCAAGTACTCACTAGGGAGAAGAGGAAACATTTCACTCACTTAATTTCATAGCTGTCAAAACCAGTCTTAAACTGGGGCTAGAAAACAAGTGAGAAGAAAAGCACTGCTTACATAATCCTTTGGCAGTGAAATGAATCAGGGTTCTTGCGGGAGAAGAGGAATGCAGTTTTTAAGGAATAAACAGCATTGCTGTAGTTGGTAGAAACTGGATAGTCCTGCTTTCCTGAAGAGTAGCACAGACATTAACCATGGGTTTATGTGCCTTCTCTTCTGTGCCCATGGTCTCTCCTCTGAACAAAGCTCTGTAAAATGGAACAGTCCTGCTGTTTTCTTTAAAATAATCTGTAATTCCTTGGCCATAATGCAAAGGGAGGCACCCATCTGTTTGGTTTTGTGTTTGTTTTTTTTTTCTCTTTTCCACAAATGTTCTTGTTTGTGTTAACTAGCAAATCTAATCATCCAGCTCACAGGAGAGTTACACAACCCTCCTGAGATTTCAGTCTAACAGCAAATCTTGCTTAATACCCCCACATTCACTTCTTGCTTCAGATTTGCAGCTTCTTTGGCATTACAGCTGTGCTCTTATAAAACAGATTAAACAGCAAAAGGAATGCTGAATGGAAAAGCTGTGTTATTTCTACCTTGCAGGACTTACTGAAATGATCCTGGCTGTGTTAAAACATGAGCCAAAACTCCCACAGGGAGCATTAGTCTGAGCGATTCACATAAACACTTCAAGAAGTCAGTTTTGGTTGAGCTTCCTAGTCAAGGTAAGTAATAGTACACAAGCAGCAGAGCCCCTCTCCTTTAGAGAGCACTGTTGATAGAAACCTCTTGTTGTTTATTCTCACTGGGAAGCAGCAAGATGAGTACTGGGTAACATCAGAAAACTTGGGGTTTGGGTAACTCTTTCACTCAAGGAGTTGCGAGTACCTTTTCTGTGAAACTGCCTAGTGCTGTGAAACATTATTCCTCTGTGCTCTTGATGTGGGTCATCTGGAGAGGGAAATCTCATCAACCTATTGAAAGGTTTATGATCACTTTCTTTTGCAGCTGACTTTTAAGGGAGATTACCTTTCCAGGAGGCGATCTGAAGAAAGGCAAGTTACAGGTACGTGCATTCCATGTGTCTTGGTAAAAGTGTAGATGGAGTTGCTTTCTTTCTCTCTGCTCTGCACTGTCTGGTTTCCAGGAGCTGTCACTCATCCCACCCTTCCTGGTAGCTTTTTTCCATCCCCCATGGGCACTGCATGGGGTCTGACTCTGACTTTAGCACCAGCTTTGCAGCCAGCAGCACCACTGTGGGGTCATGTAAACAGCACCAGTGGTCCTGCGCTCGCAGGGCTCCCCTGCTGCAATATTGAACTCTTCTCTCTATGAGCTGAAAAATTGCCACAGACTGGGGCACCTACCTGCATGTCATCTTTTATGGGCAACTTCTGTGGAGATCTTCTTCACTCAGCTTGCTTTGAGCCCTGCCTGCCCATCTTGGCAGAGTGCTCCTCTGTTTCAGCAGCTCTGATGGTTTGGAAGCAGCATCAGCCTCTGCGGGGATGCTGATAGAGTCATAGCTGAAACAAAGCACATCACACAGAGAATAGAGCTGGGGAGCCAAGTTTCTGCAGCACTTCCAGATGTGAAGCAGGGGAGTTGGGTTTAGTGCACTTTACAGACTTTTTTCTTTCTTAATTTGTTTCTTTTAAAGCACCATGCAAGCGCACTGTGAACAATTTGTACTGTTCACTCACTTTAAGCTGTATGTTCCCACTTAGCATATTTTCTAGCTAAGACTCTCCAATCAAAACCACATCTGTGTGTCGGGGCAGATTTGCAGTAGACATCTTTTCCCCCAAAATGCAAGGAAAAGCTATCTCATGTCCACTCTTGTCAGACATGTGACTTGGCCTCCAAGGTAATCCCATCCTCACAGACCCCTCCAAGGACTGAGGAGGGGCAATGTCTACAGTCACTTAACCAGAAGGCAAATTCCCCTCAATTCAACTTTGAGAAGTTTGAACTGGATAAACCCTGTGGGATTCTGACGAAAAGTCCTCAAGGAGACATGATTGCTAAGCAACTTTCTATCTGTGTGGATACCTGGGAGGAGATACAGAGGCTGCTGGAAACTCACACAGAGTATTTATTTCTGCAGGGAATCAGGAGCAGACCTGAGCCTTTATCCCTGTCAGCATACTGCACTGGTGCTTTAGCTTCTCCTTAATATACATCTCACCCTGATTTTGTCCTGCCTGTAGTTTCAAGCAACCTCCTTAACAAATCCTGCAGCATCTCCTGGGGAATTAAACGTAAGTGTGAGGGGAGATTAAGTTGTGAGAAGAGCTAAAAAAGCTTCCATTACAGCCTGTCAATGCCTCTTTTCAGGTGATAAGAAATGAGTGTGATGATGCACTGGTTGCTGCTGCTCCTTTTCCTGGTCAGCTTTGGCTCACCTGCACCCAGGTTTTCGGTGTGTATCTTTTAGCTGTGTCTGTACACTCTCTCAATGGTTCACCATTCCCAGTCATGCAGACATGGATACTCCCCCACAAGAGGGATGGAGAACTGCAAGAGCAGAGCAAAAAGGCAAATGCCTGCAGATAAAGGAATGTTGTCCTGATAATACAGGATTTTCATAGCATTAAGGGCTGTGCACTTGTCTGGGAGACTGAATTGACATTCCTAAAAATTCAAAACAACAACAAAAACTCTTTTTTAAAAAATGTGTTTTTACAGCCGAAATATCAGCTCTTTTTTCAGTTTTACACAAAGCTGATTCTGGAACCTTGCTGATTGCACCCATCTGCAGTGCAAGAGCCAAGTTTTCCCTCTCTTATCAACCTGAGCACTTTCATAGTTTGCAAACCTTCCCCTTGAGCTCATCAAATGGCTGTCAAGACAAATTATTTTTGCCCAAAGTAAATTTTTGTGCATCTGATCATATTCTGGCATGTTCTGATCAATGCCAAGGTCATTACAGAAACCTCTTTTCCTCTGGATTCAATTCAACAGCTCATGCTGTGCAAGATTTGGACATTTTAAGAAGAGATCACCATGAAACCATGTTGATCCACATAGGCAGTGTGACATGCTAGGATCAAGAGGAGACAGATGCTCCTTTCTCTGTATCTCTCCTTACTATTGACTAAAGTGTGCGTGGTTTTGTTTTATTTTCTCCATAGGACAAAGATATCTGCCTCCTGGACAACAATAAATTAAGACAAAGGTTAAAACATCTTCAAGACTTGCTTTACCTATATGAATTGCAGCTGAAGGACATACTGGAGAACACTTACCACAGAACAAAAAGTGAACTGTTCTCAGGCAACAGGAGTGTGCAGCATGAGACGCTCTTACCCACAACCAGTGGAAATTTGATAGTGTATGACCAAGGTAAAGTTTGCAGTAGTGTGTCACAATGTTTATTTCTCCCTGCAGTGTCCCATGTGTCTTATTTTATTTCTGCTAAAACTTTTAAATTTTTTTTAAAGTGGATTGTGATTTAAAACACAGATACATGGGAAGGAGAAGAGCTGACTGGTGTCCCTGACACTATAAGATATCCCTTGGGGCTAGAGTCACTTATCCCAGCTGTAGGCAGCTATTACCCAGGTACAAAATGGACATCTTCAGCTGGGCTTCTTACCTGCAGAGAGGAACAGTCACCTCTCATGTTTTCCATCAGATTTACTTTATGCATCTGCTTTAGAAAGAGATGGGTCCTGCTCCTGAAGAGCCCATATTCCGTGAGTGACTTTGGGGAGCCCAGAGTGACTGGCTCAGCTGCAGGCACCCAGACTTGTTTGGATAAGCCAAGCTCCCTGTTCCTCAGCTCCCCCATTACTTCTGTGACACAGGAACAGACATGCATGCTTTGTTCCTTGGTGTTACTTTGAGAATATGGTCATAAGATTTTAGCCTGAGCGTTACATTGAAAGTGCCAGCCACTGAGATCCTGAAAGGCTCTCTCCTGATACTGCCCCGGTAGAGCTGGACACAGGAGCTTAGCCTATTATTTTAGAAATATTTTCCTTGAACTTATCAGAAGTACAGCTGAGGTTACCTTACCTTCTACATGGAAATTAGCTTCCCTGCAAATGATCTTGCTGACAAATAAAGCTTCAGTCCCAGGCTTTCATGATATAGCCCCAGGCTAAGCTGTGGCTGTCCTGCATCTCACCAAGGATTTGGGCATTATTCCCTCAGAGGACATGGCTGTAAAGGCTCTCAAGCCTTAAAGCTCTTTGCCAGGCTGGCAGTTTGCAAACCAGTGTAGCTACTACATTGCTGCACCATTTCCTTTGACTTTACAGGGCTTGCAGAGTTATGTGCAGGCTGGCCAAGTGTCCTTGTCCCATACAGCCTCTCAGTGACATCTTCTCTTGGTGGCACCTAGCCCTTGGCTTTGCCCCCAGCCCACTGAACAAAGTGTCACTGTTCTGCCCAGATTGCTCTGCAGTGTATAACCGGAGGAGCACCACAAGTGGCTACTACCGGATCAGGCCCAGAGCAGACCAAGAGCCTTTCCTGGCATTCTGTGACATGACCGATGGCGGGGGCTGGACTGTCATTCAGCGGCGGAGCAACGGCAAGGAGAATTTCAACAGGTGTGTGCATTGTTCTTGCATCAACAGGGCTTGTAGCCAGGCCATCAGCTCCTACCCCTGTCCTGCTGCCAGGCAAAAGCCCACCCTTGAGAAGCAGGATATGCAAGATTGTATACTAGTGATGAGAATTTGGGATTAGGACAATCTGGTAGTACCTATTGGCAGCAGGGGGCCATTTTAAAAATGGATCTATAACTTCTTTTTCCATGGGTTCTCTGCATTTGAATGCATATTTTATCATTATTGAAGACTGTCAAAGGCTCCAAATTGGCAGTTATCTGCTACTAGTGCACAGACTGAGACCTGTTGAACAGATTGTTCTCGTATCAGGAATTATGTTCAGCATGTTGTAACATTTATTATGGTATTCAGATAATTCTAAAAGATGCCAAACCAGATTGTCCTTTTCCTATGCAAAATCCCAGAGAGGTGACTTTGACACTAAAATTTACAGGAGAAGAGATGCTCTGCTAGCACAATTAAGAAGAAATGTCCCCATGAAGGTTAATTCACTCTCACAGAACACACAATTTCAGGGCATACCTAATGCCTCCTAAAGTCTATGCACTGCATTGCAAAGCTACCTCAAGGGACTCTAAGACAGCTTGCCCAGAGAGTGTTAGCTACCTAGCCATGGTAGTTCAGGTGAAATAAAAACATCCTGAAGAGGAGCATTGACAAGTATGTAGGTCAGGCAGAATGAATATCCATAACAACATGAAAGAGGGAATAAACACGTGGTTACTAAAACTGAAAATGATGACACACAATGAAGTATATGAGAATATCAAAGGTAATACATAGATCGTGTGAATTATGACTTGCTGAAGAACAATATCAGGTGTCTTGCTGAAGACCAATGTGACAGCTGCTGCTTTCCCTTTCCATTTAACTGGAAACATCAGACTGTGAGCATTGCATCTGGCAGTTTGAAGGTTTGATCCCCATACCTGTGTGTGCACAGGTTTAGCAGGGGGAAAAGTAAGCTGTGAGTTGTATTTACTTCTAGATGAGTCAGATACTTTTAGAAAACAGTATCTAGAGATACTAGATCTAGAGGTGAAATTTTACTTGTTACCATATTCAAGTGTCACAGATTTGACAAACTTAATCCCCTCTCATGATGAAATTGATATTTATATCTCTCTGCAGGAAATGGGATGATTACAAACTGGGATTTGGGAAATTCCAGGGCAAGAATGATGAATACTGGCTGGGCAATGACCACATCCATGACCTGCTTGCTAGAGGTCCAAGTACTTTTTTCTCCATGGATTTCTTTCTAATTTGCATTAGGTAGTTCATCTAACATGACACAACTTTATGTTTAGGAGAGAACTCATTAAAGATTGACCTGATGGACTGGCATGGGGAAAGACGTTATGCAATCTATGAAAATTTCCAGCTTGCAAATGAACAGGTAAGAAATGGAGAGAGAGAGCAGTGATTTGCTTGCTTTGGTCTGTGAGGGTGGGGCAGCTGCATACACAGCATCAGACCAGTATCAGGGTTGTATCTACAGCTCTGCAAAACTTACCTGCTCTGATTTCCTGAGCTTCCTAGTTTGTCTGACTGACAAACAGCCCTGGGATCAGGGACATAAACCTGGGACTTTTTCCTTAAAACTGAGTTCCCAGGTCAGTGGGTGACAGGATTGTATGTTTGTGCCCTCTTGCTAACTCTGCTACTGAACAGAGGGCAGTTTCCTCTGTATGTATGTATATACACAGGGGTATTCCCACATGTATTCGCCTCTGACCTCATGATTAAAAGAGTCTTCTGTGAGTGAGAAGAGCCTTAGGGTTTGAACCTCTGCAACTAAATGGAGCCCTGTTCTTCTGCTTCCTAAGAGAGTGTTTCAGACTGTCACATAAAAGGCAAGTGCCAGAACAAATCCTCTCAGCTTTGTTTTTAAATAAAACAGGGAATTCTAATCAAATCTTTGAAAGAGCAGTTGTAAGTTCCTATCTTGAAGAGAGGTACCTGTAGCACTACACCTACTGCTAGAGACACAGAAAGCCCAGAGACAGACACATCCTGTATTTTCATGTTGTGCTTTCTAGCTGTAGACAGTGTCCACCTCCATACAGGTGCTGTTCTTTGCAGACTTGCCTGCCTGAACACCACATGTAAGTAGCCCAAATAACCAAGGATACTGCATGGACCAGCCCTAGTTCCAACTCCATCCTCACTCCAGAAATGTGCACATTATGCTCAGTTTGCAATTAGAGGTTTCTTATGAAAAGTTTGAACAGATTCATTTTAATACCTTACTGCCGCTTGTCATAAAGAAATGAGGACAATGATGACAGGAGAGAGCCAACAACATAAAAGTGATCATCCACTTAGTATCAAATATTTCTTAGACCTGTTAGCTGTGCACAATGAAATTATTATTCTAAGTATTCCTACCAGGATGAGAGCATAGAAATCCAATGGCTTCTAGTCCTTGGAAGAGTAAAATGCCTAGCCATTTATTCTAGCTGAAGAACTGATCTTTATGAAGGCCATTACTTGACACTTGGCCGTTTTCTGCTAAGTTCTTCTTCATCACCTAGAAAGAGCTTTCCATCTTGCTGTAAAGTGTATTAAATCGTTGTTGAATGACAATAGACCTGAAGCCCTATGTAGCAGCAGCAGTAATTACCCATCCCTTCTGGAGGTTTAAATTCTGCATTGATCTACACTACGATCATTAAAGCATGGAGGCAAAAGTCACCCTTGACTTCAACAGACATGCCTTTGACAGTGGATGAAATGTCCAGAGCTAATTTGACCTCAAAAATGGGAGGAAAAGAAAGAATGGATATAAAATAAATGTTTCACATATTCTTGCAGGACAATTACAGGTTATGGTTTGGCACCTATTCTGGTAATGCTGGCGACGCTCTGTCTGGTGGGAGCAATTTTGAAGATCAGTGGTCAGCCTCTCACAGAGGGATGCAGTTCACCACATCTGATAAGGATCACGATCAATTCCTGGCGGGCAACTGTGCATCAGAGAACAAGGGTGGCTGGTGGTTTAACAGGTATGGAAAACAGCTGATTCCTCTCGGATGCGAAGGGTGTGGGTGGCTGTACAGATGAGAGGACTTGCCTGCCTTACAGCAGCTGCAGGTTGCTGTGTGCACTTGCCACCTCGCACAGCCAAACCTAACATGTTCACACCTACAGATCCTCAAAGGAAAACAATTTAGCAAAGCATGTAAGTTGATTTCCCTTTAAGAAAATGGGTCAAAACAAATGCACAGGGGACAATGACGTGGAAGGAAAAGAGCCCTGTTAAAATGCCTGAAAGTGCTTTGTGTTATACTCCAGTGAAGAAAACAACTGTAGCCATGGTAAAGTGAAGTGTGTACAAAGGACATTTCCCTAGAATGGAGCATGTCTAAGGGCAGGGCCACCCCATAACTGTTATGATGGCATATTTGCTGTTCGGGCATATGCCACGCATCAATGGAGAGGGACTCATGTTTAACAGCACAGGGAACAGGGATATAACACTCTGAGATTTTCTCTGCTTTAGTGCAGGATGAGCCCCTTAGACCAGATTCTCATCACATACAAATTGAAATCGGTGGAGCTACAAAATGTACATTAATGGCAGGATTTACCTAGATGAAAAGACATCTGCAGTTTTAGGTGTCAATATGGAGCTACCTACACTTGAGCTAGAGCACACCAAATGGCACCCTTTTGTTCAGGCCATGTAGTTCTAATGTCTGTAGTTAATACACCTGAAGGAGTCAACAGGCTGAATTAATTATCTGAGAGGTGTCAGTGTCTGCTATAGGATGACCCACATCTTCCTCTGTGTTCCAGTAAATTCATAAACCATCCTTCCCTGGTATATCTAAATATATGTTGTGTGAGAACGGTACTCCACTGCAATGATACAATATTTTCTCGTGCTAAACCTAATTCCCTTTTTGTCTTTCCTACACTGCTCCAAGGTGCCATGCTGTGAACCTCAATGGGCGATACTACAAAAGAGGGAGGTACAATGGAGCCCACGATGATGGCTTGGTTTGGTCTACATGGCACGGGATGTGGTACTCACTGAAATATTCAGCCATGAAAATCAGGGCTCCGTTCTTTGTCGACAGCGAGAGCGGAGATGGTGAAAACAGTCAGGGAAGCTGAAACCTGCTGCTTTGGAAAGAGAAAAAGCACAGGCTGAAAAGAATGCTATAAGTTGCTGCCGCCAATCGCCAAACCTGCACTTGATAGCTGGAGTTGCACCTGCTTCTGCCACCTGAATCTAATAGCATGAGTTTTTTGAGCACAGCCAGACAACAATTTAATAAAAAACATATGGATCTCAGTCACAGGATAACCAGAGATTTCTTTTTCAGCAGTTTTCAAGATGTTGTTGGAGAATATTTATTGAAAGTTCTCTGGAATTCAAAGGATCAAGCATGTCCTTTAATCAATCTATACTTTCCAAGGTCTAAACCTTTCTCGTCTTGAATTTAACCATCAGTGTTTCAGTTATGAGAACATCAGGACAGGAAGAACAAGGGGATGGGGAATTTGACTTTATCTGGTGTGCCTTTGTTAGTGCTTCGTTCTGCATCAGGAGAATCTTTTTAAGGAACTTTCCCTATGGTTCTAAGTGCCACACTTCTGCTGCAGAATGCTTGTGGAGTGTGTGAAACCAGACCTGTGGATGGACATGCTCCAACTGCTAATGTGCATCCAAGGCTAATGTGAAGCTAAGGCTGCTTCAAAATAAACACCCACAATACGGACAGTGTGGGTTCCATTCCAACAGCTTCCTGCTGCAGATCCACTGCTAGAGCATACCACAAGACATTAATGCAGACAGACAATCCCGCCAAACCGATTTAAGACCCAGATTAAAATTAGGCAGATTTGACTGAAATTAAGGTGAGTGCAGATATTCCTATGAGTTCCTAAAATGCAGTCATTATTCATTTGTGCATTCTCCTGTCACCAGATGACTTTACATTAGTGAAGGGGAATCAGAAAGTGGTTGAACCACAAGGCACACTGCTTTCATTGTCTGACTGGGGTGAAATGAAAGAGCCATACAAATGACTGAAAGAAATGGAATACCGAAAATTTATTTTCTACAGCTGTTAATAACAACAGTTAAAAATTAACAGTGGTACCACCTTGATGCAAATCATTTAACTGCCATGCTGTAGAATAAACCTTTTTCCTTTTTTTTTTTCTGATTTATAATATTTTTTTTAACTGATATTACTTTTCCATTTACTTGCTTTTAAATCCATACATATTGTAATTTGTATACATATTGATAAAGAGTGAAATAAAACCATCTGAGTAGGACTTAATACTTATCTGGTTTTCAACAATAGGAATGTGAACAGGAATCTTGGAAAGCTCATAATATGAGAAACGTATTATTTTGGTGTTGGCTCTGGTGCTTTTTTTCCTGTTGTCCTTGGCAGTTGCAAGGGTCTGGAAGGTAAGTTTAATTTTCATGTCTCAAGCTGCCCTGGAGACGATGCAGAGGCATGAGGTGAAGGTTCAGTTTAAAACTTGGTTTGGTTCCTCTCCTTCCTAGACATCCCAGTGACTGCAAAGATAAACATCCCAGTGTAATGGGCAGCACTCCATGGAGCTGTGCTCCTAAAACCTGTGCCCTTGGCCAGACTGTCCCCTGCCCTCTTCTCAAGCATGCTCATGTGGAATGAAATTTGCACCTACATGTCTGAAATGAGATCGCCCTTGCGAAGAAAGGGCTACAGAAAGACAGCACTTATTGCTTCTCTTCTGATCACTACGTCTGTATTTTGATACGGTAAAATTTTAGTGCAAGGTTGTAACTGCATGTTTGGGCATAAACACTTTGCACACATTATTACTGTGTGGCCCCTGATGCAGTGCTGAGGGCAGAAGGAAAATTTTTGTCTAGGTGGAAGACACAGAGAAATGTAAGTGAAATAAGTTCATGCCTTCTGGAAGGTGATGCTCAATCCCACTCTTCAGTAGAGAGCTAAGGAAGTAGGGTGAGGACTGTGGAAACTACAGCACTTAGGGGACAGCATTTGTGGTCTAGCAGTTCATTAGGCAGCTGGTAACCCATCTGATAATAGAATATGAAGCTGGAGATGAAGTCAACAGGGCTTAATCAGATAAGCCGCACCCAGTCCAGTTCCCCAGTGAGTGAGCAATGAGCGATGTGAAGTCCAGACTACGGAGCCTGTTTCCCTGTGTGTCAGTATGGAGTGGCAGGCATTGTGGCTGTACTGCCTTCAGCCAGCATCAATGTTACAGTACTTCCTCCTGTCTCTAAGAGAGAAAGGGGGGCCAAGGTATGACAAGCTGGGAGGGAAGGGGTCTGCCCTGCTGTCTTTGATGTAAAATATACCTAAGTACATCTACTGCATAAGACAGCCCAACACTGGGACAACTTTGCAGAAAGCAGCATCTGATTAAGAGCCATGTTCCTCCTTCTCTGTCCTCCTGTGGGAAAGGAAACTTTGAGATGCAGGGGTCACAGGGCTGGAGCCTGCAAATCCCACAGCAAACTCCAGGAAGCATTTCAGAACCACCTTTAATCATAACAAACAGGGTAGAATGCCACTAGCTGAGTATTAACTGGATCTGAGGGCTACCACCAAGAGCTGAAGGCTGGGCGAATGCTTGCTGAATGTTGCTGCACTGCACATTTGATCTCCCATTTCTCCACAGTATGTCTCCCATGCTGAGAGGCTCAACAAAGCTTAAACAGAAACTGTAGCCCTGCAGCTCCAATGATGATGGATCCATGCTTCAGGGAAAAGGTTCTTCACACCACAGACCTTACCTTAGTACAGGCAGGGTGTAAGTAACCTGAGTAGCAATTGCTTCAGAGGTCTGATTTCCAGCTCATTTAAGTCAATTTAAGGACTCATTACATTTGATTGCCTTTGGATAACTCTTCAAGCATGAACATGTTCTTAAATGCTTTAAACAGCTTTTCAAGCTGACAGTTTATGGGAACGCATCGGTGGTACCAGCACCACACTGGGCCAAGGGCTGAACATCGGCATCTTGGCACAGCTCCCAGGAAAAAGGGAGCTCACATCACCCTGTGAGTCAGAGCCCTCACTCCAGCAGCAGCTGAAAAATGTTACCCATCAAAAAGGTCGTTAAAACAGACAGATTTGACTCTGGTGGCCAAATGTGAGGCTTGCTCCTCCTGTGTTGTCACAGCAGGTAACACCGTGTGCCTGTCAAGCCACCCATGCCAGCTTTGGACACTGCAGTGGGGTGCCACCAGGAACTGGCAGCTAACACAAAACAATGCTGCTCTTACTTTAAAATTGCTGCTGGTTTGTGGGGGAGTGGGGGGAGGAAGAAGTGTGGGATTGGGAAATCTCTCTCTCTGCTCAGAAAGCCAGTATTGAGAAAGATAGCAGCCTACTTCCTGAGAATGGAACCCATTCTAATTTTGCCTTCACACCCACAAGGCAGGTTAAAGGGCATGGAGGGTTGGGCTCCTTTAGGGACAGTTGATTTAAGACTAACAGTCTGTTGCCTAAACCTTTCTTCTCTTATACCAACCTCTTATTTTTTGCCCACTAGCATTCCCCAGTTGCAAAGTCACCGGAGAGACAGTTACCCTAACAAATGGCAAGAAAAGTCTTGGTCATTCACAAAGGCCTGAGCTCTGCTTCTGCTGTTAATTGGGGTTTCAACCCAATTCTGAATACTTACAGCAGTAATGGCAGATTTGTGATGTCTGGTTTTAAAACACAACAAAAATAGGCCATCATGGCTTTTGTAGTTCACTGTTACTGCTCTCCTCAGTTCCCTGAAAGGAGGTTGTAGCAAGGTGAGGGTTGGTTGGCCCATTCTCACAGGTAACAAGTGATAGGACCAGAGGAAATGGCCTCAAGTTGTGCCAGGGGAGATTTAGATTTGATATGAGGAAAAATTTCTTCACTGAGAGTGGTCAGGCATTGGAACAGGCATCCCAAGGAAGCAGTGGAATCAGTGTCCTTGGTAGTGTTCAAAAGATGTGTGGATGTGGCAGCTAAGGGATATGGTTTAGTGGTGAACACAGTGGTGTTACATTAACAGTTGGACTTAATGATTTTAGAGGTCTTTCCCAATGTAAATAATTCTATAAGATTCTCTGTGAATCACCAGATGTTGTCATTTTGATTTTTGTTCCCAGAACAGGTATTAATCAAATAATCTTGTTGTTTGCTGGTTTTGTTCATAATTTATTTTGAGCTTGCTGTAGTAGTATTATTGTCAATATATTTACATTAAAAAATTTTAATAAAGGAAAGGATGACTATGGAAAGGATGCATAATTCAACAGTTCTCTCACTGCTTTGTACAGGTAACATGCTGTGGTAACATTTCTGTGAGGACTAAAATCTGATCATCCATTTTCTTGGCCTGCCCTGTAGCATGCCTTTTGTACTGATTTCCTGCAAATATTTGTCTATTGTTTTCTTGATATAAATATTGACAGTAAGAAAATATCAAAGTCTTGAATGATGAAAATGCCTCCTCAATTTTAAATTCACCCAGTATTCAGCATCAGTTGTTTGCACTTTGATGCAACCAGCTAAAAACTCCCCACGGTATGAGTTATCTGAGCAACAATGACAATTCAATGCAGTTCACTGATCACTATCAGAAAAATGATGAAAACTTCCCACAGCTTGAGCTTTGTGTTTTCTAGATGAGAAATGATTCACTAACCAGGGCAGATGGTTGAGGGTGCTGGACAGTGGATGCATCAGTATCTCACAGTCTACCAGTACACAGTGCACAAGGTGGGAAATGTCAGTGGCACTCACCATGTATGATGCACAAAACATGACTGCTTTACACAATAAAATCTATTGGCTATTCCTGTGCCACACCTTACCTAACACATTCTTTCCCAGGGTACTTTGTGTGTCTTGTACACACATACAAAAAAAAAAATTATATGAAAGCACTTTTCAGTAATTTGAAAGGAGTGTGCTCCCACAAGCCAGACCCAGGACATTATTCCCTCCTGCTGTGTGTGGAAGTAACATGATTCCTGCTCTTTCTTCCACCAGAAGCCAACCGATCCTGCAGATCCTCTCCCACGCACGCCACTCCTGCAGCGCCGCAATGAGTCACTCAGATCACCAGCTTCTCAATGCTCAGAGTACTTGTTTCATCCTCTTCATTTGAGCCAAAATACCCAGGGAGGTCAATCATCTGCTGCTCTGCCTCCGTTAAGCCAAAAGTAGAATTGTCATAAAAGGCAAACTCAGGGTCCAAGGGGAAACTCTGGCACTTGTCCCTTCGATACTGGGCAGGGCTGACACTTAGGCCTCTCTGGGAATTATCTTTGCCATTTGGGCCTGTTTCTTTCCGCCACACACCTTTGGGGTTAGGTGAAGGGCCCCTCTTACTTCGGCTGGGCTCAGGCTTCTCAGCTGCCTTCTCCTGACCAGCAGGCTGGCGATCTGTGATCAGGTCCAGCTTCCTCACCGGGGGCCCTGCCCTGTGGTGGGTCTTTGTGCCATGGCCCTGTGGTTCACACGCCAGCACAGTGCTGTGGGGCTGATCCAGCTTTTCACAACCTGGATTAGTGTTTCTTGATTTTGACCGTATCCTGTCCTCCAGACCCTGGTCCCATGTCCTGGTCCTGGAGTTGTAGAGAGGAGTCTGTCGGGGTGTGAGAGTGGACATGCTTCTCTCTCTGAAAGGCCTGGCCTTTTTAGTTTCATGGAAACTGGCTGTTCTTCTGAACTGTGAGTTTCTATGACAGCCCCTCTCAGGCCAGTCCACCCTGTTATCCTGGTGCTTGAAATGACCTCTTCTGACCAAGGTTTGGGTAGGGCTCATTGCAGGATTGGCCTGTGAGAATGGAAAATCCAGCCTAGGGTGAGAACCTTCTCCCAGGAACTTGGGCTGACTGGCTGGCTGTTCCAGAAATGGAGATTTGATCCGAAATTTGTTTGCTGCTGCTTCCTCTTGGTTTTCCCCGCTCAGGGGAAGCATCGTGGTGGCACCAAGAACCGTGTCTGTGAGAGGATTCTGAGAGACATGGTACACCTTAGTGGTCTCCGTCAGGCCTTTCTTCTTCATCTCTTTCAGCTGCTGCTGTGCCAGGCGGTAGCTGAAAATTGGAGGGATTATTTTTTGGGCATTTGGCTGAAAGTTTTCGCTTCCAGAGGCATCATCTTCTTGGGCAAATTGGAGGCTTCGCCTGTAAGTTAGGGGAATGTTGACAGGGGCGTCTCCCCCTTCAGCAAAGCTATCCCGTTGCTTGTTGCCTTGGCAGATGTTCTCCTCATCAGAGTTTTTCCGGAAGCCAGGGGAATGGACAGAGTTCCGTCGGACAGCG